CGGCGAGCGCTCGGAGAACGGACGGGACGGCGCGGGGCTCGGCGGCCCCGCCGCAGGTGGAGGAGGAGGAGGAGGAGGAGGAGGTGGGCGCGGGCAGCGGTGGGATGCGGGGTCCGGGAGCCGCGTCGGGCCAGGCCCCGGGCGGGAGCAGGGAGCCGAGCCCGTGTCTGGAGCTGGGGGAAGGCGGGGAGGAGAGAGGGGACGAGGTGCGGTGGGGAGGTGGGGAGACAGCCCCCGGGTCTTGGGGGGTGAATGCTGCGCCCTGGGCTGGGAGAAAGCACAGGTCTGGCCTTGGGTGAGGAGCAGGTAGATGGGCTCCTCCCCGCTGAAGCTCCAGCGGCTGCCGCAGAGATAGAAGCAACCTGTTCGGTGTGTGCAGCACCCGCACCGGGTGTAGACTTGCTGAAGAGACGGCTGCCTGGAGGACACTGTGGAGGGTGTTGCTCAGATAGCGTGAGGGTTCAGAGAGCGAGTAGAAGATAGCAGGGATGCTGAGCAGGTGCAAAGCAGACAGTGATGCGAAGGGGACCCCCGGGGGAAAACAGGCATTGAGGAAGCATGACAGATGTTGAGCAGGTGTGGAACAGATGATGAGCAGGCCCAGATGTGGACACTAAACAGATTCAGGTGCAGAAGCTGAGCAGATGCAGATGCAAAGACAGAGACGGAGCAGACGTGAACCCCAAGCAGATTGCAGATGCTGAGCACATGTAGGCACAAGCAAGCATTTTGGTCTGTGCTTGGGATTCCTTAGGATTGGAAGATGTCGATGGGCATGCAGTCATGCCACCATCCCGGGTGTCCTCCTGTGATGTAGTGCGGTCTTGGGGACACAATTTGAACTCCAGCAGTTCTGGGGAGGAGCTGTGACTCGGTGCAGGCAGCCTCAGAATGCAGTTACTCTGCCAGGTTTATGTTAATCTTGACATATGATGAGCTGGAATAAGAGCTACAATGTGGTAATGCAACAAATTTCACTTAATCTCTAGCAGACTGCACTCCATATGGTTATACGATTAGCTCTTAGTTCAGGAGACACCAAGACTCGAGGAACAGAAAGTGCACAGGGTATTAGCAGCTTACCCATATTCCAACATTCTTGACCTACTGAAGTGTCATTTGTGAAATTCTAAAAATATACGGGGAAACCAAGTGTCTGTGCAAAATAGTACAGCCACACTACGAACCGGTGTGTTTTGGAGAGGGAAACTAGGAAAGCACAAGAGTGGGAAATGAAGTCAGAGGAGTGGATTTGGATGATGTAGAGGGGAAAGAGGAATGTAGACGTGGTGCACGAGAAGGAGCAGCAAGGACAGACTGTGCATTGGGGGAAATTCCTATGGAAATCAATGAACCCGTCCCATCTCCTCATAGGACACTGGGACAAGGTGCTGAGCAGCGGGTTCAAAAGACCAAGTAGTGCTGAGACTGAATTCCTGGGAGTGGGCGGTGTAGATGCCACCACCCAGAGAAAGAGGGAACTTTTGAATTGGGCTACACTGGGAGAGACTAGCCCCAGACAGGCCGTGGTGTCAAGAGACGCACTCCTTTTGAAACCTGCAGAGTTCCATCGCTTACACCATGGCTGAATTTGGCCCCATGTCTTCAGAAGTGGCTGATGTTCAACTTTCCCATGACTCTGTCACTGTGCCAGGTGGTGATCTCAGAGCATGCTCTGAGCCAAAGCCAGTCTCCTCTGGGGGGGAAGGGGAGGACTGCTCCATTGAGGGAACCACAAGGACGATACAGACAAGTCTGAAATGTGTGTGCACGCACATTTACGTGCACACAAACTGTTCTAGCTCCAAACTATTAGTCAAGTGGCTCATTGGCTCAGAGAACTCATCCTTTTCAAAGACTTAAGACCCAAAAGTGAGGAGAGCCGAGAAGCAAAAATAGCGGTGGGGAGAGCCCCATCCTTCTAGGAAGGAAGGATATTCAGGACCAAGTTCCTCATCTCTACTCTGAGCTCTTTGGTGACTCATGGAACGGTCTTTCTGCTGTGCTTCTCAAGCACATTGCCTGAATTATAAGAGATTTTCTTTCAGAGAATAACTTGCTCTTGACCAGCCATTCACTTCAGGGATCTCATAGAGCTCTTGGGGGTTCAGACTCGGTTAGATTCAAGCTCAGAGAGCATCTGCAACAGTCCTGCAAATGGCTTTGCTTACCTTCCTGAGGAAGAACAGATGCCGTTTTCCAAGCCAGCTTGAGAGACAAGGCAATTAAAGCCATGGGTCACTGGGGCCAAACATCTCTTCCCTCCAAGCCTGCTGCCTGCAGAGTTCCAGAAGGATTGTGGGTTTTTTTCCCAAAGTTTTGGAGTTTTGGCATGAAATACCTTGATATATCAATGGTATAATATGGAGTGAGGCAGTAGCTGCTCACAGATGGCCTGCCCTTCCTTGACATCAGACTCTTAACTGCACAGCCATCAGCTGCCTTGGCCAGAAGCAGCAGCTGTGTAAGATCAGCAGCACGTGGAGAACCTGCACCTTGCTGACAGCAGCAGTAGGAAGAGGGAAGCTCCCAAAAGAACCTGCTCCCTGTCTCACATTGTCCATGCTAAGATGCTACCAGTCTTATTGTGCAGTCAATAGCTCTGGGCTGTCTGGGCTCCACAGTAATGGCAGAGTCCGATCATGAGGATACATCCTGTTGTGGTGCACAGTGTGTCACAGATTCCTTGTCTCCAGGCTTGGTTACAGTCACTGAGTGCTGTGGACTGGAAGATCTTGCAGGAATATTCCTGCCTCCAGGCTTCTTTCTGAGCTGGTAGGTGGACACCTAAGCTGGGACTGGACTAAATTCCCCGAAAAAACATCTCACCTCCTTTGCCTGTGACTTCTTGTAGAAAGTACTTTGTCATAAAGCTATCAGCTTCCTGGGAGCAAGACCTGCATCCTGGACACCCTGCTGTGAGAAGCGGGTTCCAACGTCACAGTGTTCAGAGTGAAACACACAACACAGCTCCATGAAGGGAACATGAAACTTCTTCTTAGGGAAGGGAAGATGGCAATTACTATTTCCACTAGAAAGGTCTCCCAAAACACCAGTGCCTTGGTGGTGAAGTAAGTAGAAGGTGAAGTGGGGACACCAGGCGAAATACAGTAGATACAGTAATCTCTTACCACCATGGCTGCCTAACAGCCAAAAATCTTAACAAGATGATAAACAATAAATGATTTTATCGTTTACTTGCACTGTGCTGTAGGACCAGATCTGCAGTCTCTAAATAGAGTGGCAGATGAAACACTACTGTTGGAAACGGATACTGCGCTAGACTGACCACTGGTCTGATCTAGAATGGTGTTCTGATGATTACTGGGACATCCCTCGTGGACAGGCAGTCAGGTCTGAAATGGAAGGGCCGGCTGTTAACAGCACTATTAATAGAGCCAGGAGTGCAAAACAGCTTAAAGGGGTATTAAAACACAGTATCTGCCTAGGTCGAGGACACAGAACAATTATCGGTGTTAGACTTCAGCCAGGGAGATGCCTTTGGGCATTTAATGAGATCAGAGCTTGGGTTTTCTGCTGTGCTTTTCTGTGGCATAAAGCCTAGAACTGGTCACAGTGGTGGAGTCCCCACAGGGGTGTCCTCGTCTGGCTCGGTGTCCTCTTTGCACTGCAGGGTTGTTGGGCTGAGCACACCAGCTCATCGCTGCAGCGGGGTCTGGTCTCCAGGGATTACCGAACATCCATCTCTCCAGTAGCAGCCAGAGACTTTCCTGCATGGGAAAGCTGTTCCATTCAGTAGCACAAATGACAAAATCCCCTCCAGTTAAAGCCCAATGTGAGCATCTGGTCATTGGCTTATTGAGTAAAACTTCACAGCCTAAGAACACATCCTTGTAAACTGCCAGGCTCCTGCTTGCTGAATCTGAGCGTAGCACAAGAGGAAGACCTTCATCTTCATGAAGATGACTCTGGAAGTGCACCAGTTTTGTTCAAATCAGAATTTGGCATGGGAGGAGAACCTCTGTGCTCCAGCACTGTTTCACACTAGACCATCTTCGGAAGTTGATTCCCTGGGGACATAGTGGCGGTGTTGAGAAGAGAGGGAATGATTCCAGGAATCTTAACTTGAAGGTTGCTTCAACTAGGGCATCTAGCCTATTTGTCCCAGGCTAGAACTGGGGCTGGGAACAGGTGATAGTTTTTGTTTCTGTTTCTTATTTTGTTTAAAAGCAAACATCAGCTGACATGACAGCCTCGTGTTGCACTGGGTGACAGTCAGAGGTCATACGAGAGGCTCTGTAGGGCTGCAAACAAACCTGCGTGTGGGTGTAGAGCAGAAGCTGCTGTGTCTCGTTTGCAGGAAGCCTTAATGATGCTAGAGCCTTGAAAGCTAACAGGTCAATAGGAGAGGAATAACAGTGACAACTAACACTTTTCCATGGGACCAAAATGGTCCCAATGAGGACAAGCTTGTTTTCTCTTGAGGACACTGATTTGGACCTCACAGCTTTTACCTACTCTCTTTTGGGGCATCTGTGAAATGGATCTTTCTGTTCAGATGGCACACAAAGAGGCAGAGAATTGCTGTGTTATTTCCCATCCACCTGTCTGATCTCTGCAGGCTTCTCAGCACTATTACTCTGTCCTTGAAGAACTCTGTATTTAGTACTATTCATTAGTTCCTTCTCCAGGTCATGTGTGAGACCTGATATTAAAACCCAGTTCTTTCAGTACCCACTGAATAGTCACTGCCCCAAAAGTCTACTGCACCTCATGCTTTGTGGACATTTGGCTGGCTTTCATTCTAGGAGACAATGTAAAGGTTTGGAAAACTAAGGTTCAGCAGCGATGGGATCACCTTCTACATGGTTTCATGTCTCCAGCATGAGCAGAGTCACACCATCATAGCTATTGGGAATAGGCCCCACTAGCTGCAAAGGAGGTTGCCCCATGGCCTTGGCTGGGATTGTTATTTTGGATGCAGCAGACTCACGTGCATTAGCAACATTTGATAAACAGTTAGAAGAGATAATATTAAAAATAATGTGGTTGATCTCTACTGATTCTCTGGCTTGTAGCATTGAAATAGCGGTGGCAGTAGTGGGGAGCTTTTGCAAAATGTTGCAATGTAGACCAAATCTGAGTGAATTCATCCTGTGTTATCTTTAGCTAGATGGCTATGCTTCACAGGTGGCAAAATGTTTGAATGACAGGCCTTTGCTGGAAAACTCTTTCTCAAACAATATTTGTGCGAGATCCCGCCCCTCTGACTTGTGGTTCTCAGTCTTCCCATCTTTCTTTCTCCTAGATGAGTTGGGCATTTGTCCAAAAGGTGTCACCTCCAACGTGTTCCGCTTTAATGTGTCCTCGGCAGAGAAGAACAGCACCAACTTGTTCCGGGCTGAGTTTCGAGTGCTGCGTGTGCCCAACCCAAGCTCCAAACGCAGCGAGCAGCGCATTGAGCTCTTCCAGGTGAGTATTCTTCCCCCGTGCCTGAGCCCAGAATAGCTTGGCTCCTTATTGATATGTGCAGGGCCACAGAAGAGAGAAGGAAGAATTCCTGTGCTGTACCCCAGGTTTCTTCCAGCACGTGTAGTGATACAGTCACCTTTCTTTCCTTTTGCAGTGTGGGGCTGTCTTTTCCCTGCTGAAATGGGCTGGCTGCTCTGGGCACCCTGGCACGGTGCCCGCTGCAGCTCCTTGCTGCGCTGAGGAGGGGGCTGGAAGGGGAGCCCCTCACCAGTGGAGCAGCCCTGACCCTTCTGTCACATCTGCAGGCCTAGGTCCCTTGGCAGTTTTGTTCCTTTGACTGTCGCAATACAGTTGGTGCTAATCCAATGGGTGGAGCTCTCTCTCTCATCACTAATTTACTGGAAAAATAATGCTTGCTTTCAATGTTCCCTTCAGCAGCAGCTCCTCGGGGGCACAGTTCATGCCACCATTAATTCAGGTACTTCTCTGGAGTTTGGTTTGAACCCATGGACGCCCCTGGCAGAATAAGGTCTGTTTCAGGCGTGGAAGTGGTCTTAAACTGGGGTGGACCACCCAGCTAATTGTACAGTTTAGCATCCAGGCAGCACATTCCCACGGGCTGGTGTCTGTCCACTTTGCAGTAAGAGTGCAGCTAAAATTGCTCTGTGGCTGGTAGCTCTTGAGGACTTCTTGGAATTCAGCTTCAAAGGTCAGAGCAACTCTCCACCAGATGACAACTGAGAAGAAGGCAAGCCCTGAGCTTCTCCATAGGTTCAGTGCTCTGTGGAGTGAACCTGGGATGCCCGCTGCCAGTTCTACCAGACCCACATCCCACAGGTGTATTCAGAAACAAAACCACCCATTAGGTCAATTACTGCCTCTGCCTCTGGATGTGTGCCCTGGAACAAGGTTGAATTGGGAGAGGTGGGCTACTTAGGACACAGAAATAAGCATTGTGTAGATCTCTGGAGTTCAGGTTGGTCGTGAAACATGTCCTCAACCGTGCCAGCGTATTCCCAGTATCTCACTTGCCAGGACCAACCTTCTGAATTAGTTTTTAGCAAGATGTGATTAAAAAAAAAAAAGCCCCAAGGCTATCCCTTCCTTATGCACAGCACTGGCTGACTCTCTCTACCACTCCTTCCGATGCAGATCCTTCGTCCGGATGAGCACATAGCAAAGCAGCGCTACCTCAGTGGCAGGAATGTGCAGACACGGGGCTCCCCTGAGTGGCTTTCCTTCGATGTCACCGAGACTGTGCGCGAGTGGCTTCTGCACAGAGGTAGGAGTCTTAGCTGGAGCGGGTGTCCAGGCATCCAGAGAAATGCAGATCAATGTTGACCCAAGTATCTCTCTGCTCCCCTTTTCGCACGAACTCAGCTTACATAGAGGACAGCTTCTTTCAGCCTGAGAACAAGCCTTCCCCCAGAGAGCTACCCCAGTGTGTGACATTTGCTAGATTCCTAGATCTGTCCTGGAGTCTCCACTGTGGAGCTCTGTGGGCTGAGTCAGAATGAGGATTCATCCTCTGGAGGAGGAAATTGTTTTCACTGAGAGCTGGAACTTCTGGTTCTTTGATTCTAAGCCCAGAGGGGACCTCTCTGCTTGTCTAAACTATAATCTGTAATACATAGAAAATTAGGATTGCTCTGGTTTAATTTTCATGTGGACTACAGCAAATTTAGTAGGGAAAAAAACCAGCAAGAATCCTGGTTTCTTTAGCTGTTTACAGCTTGGCAGGTATAAAGGTGAGGAAATACCAGAGGCTGACACACCTAGACAGATGGAGGCTTTAGGACTGCAGAGAACATACCTCTGCCACCACTGAGCAGCCCAACAGATAGTTACAGGGCAGCTCCCAGCAAGAACACTGACCCCATTCACAGCTGGAGCATAGGAACCGTGACTCACAGCTGGATTGGCCTCACAGATAGAAGCTGGGTGCCACTGAAAACTGGAATGCAGGTGCTGGCAAGCAGCCGCTCCCTGGAAGGGTAAGCTGTGAGCGTGTAGGCTCCTCCTTCTTCAAGCAATCCGAGTTGTGTCCTGATGGCTGGAGTTCAGGGCTGGAACTGCAGTGAGCTCTGGGCAGGCACTCCAGCTGACGAGACATCACAGAGTATACAGTGCTTAGGAAAAAAGGTGCTAGGCACCTTGTCAATGCCCCAGGGAGCCAGATGTTTTAATTCATGACACAACATAAAAAAGGAGCTTTCATAAGAGTCTTATGTTCCCTTAGTCAGGCCCACACAGCATGACTGGTCCAGGAAGTTATTATGAAAATAGATTTGCCTCTGGAAAGTCTGTGTGACTTAGACTGCTAGCAGTTCAACAAAACAGGAGGTTGCAGCTGCTGAGAAAAATGCTTCCAGTGATATTACTCGTCTACATCCAACTCGCTCATTTTCAGATCTCTCCTTCAGACACTAACCAGAAGCCAGATAGTAGACAGGTACTGAGGATGGGAAAACTGATTTAACACAGACACTGCAAGGCAGCTTTTCAAAATATTTGTTTTCCAGTGGAGCTCCTTGAAGTTCACAAATGCTTTTGGATGCTGAATAGCCTCAAAAATACGTAACCAGAAGCACCCTTCTCACCTGCCCAGGCAGTTACCTTTAGCAAGAGCAAGGCTTTTGGTACAGGTGGAGCCATAAGATTCTGCTTCCCATTCTCCTTTCTATGGCAGCTTCTGTTCCCCAACTCTGGTCGTATCCCTATCTTTGAGCCCAACCCACAGCCTAGGAGTTACCACAATATATGTCCTCACTGAAACTTCCCTGCACCAGCAGCTGTCCCAGCTGAGGAAGAGTGTTTCTCACAGAGTCATCTTCTTTGCAGAGTCCAACCTTGGCCTGGAAATCAGCATACACTGTCCTTGCCATACTTTTCAGCCCAATGGGGACATCTTGGAGAATCTGCATGAGGTCTTGGAGATCAAGTTCAAAGGTGATAAAGAGCTGGGTTAGGGGAGGCTGTTGGGGAAGGGAAAGCCTGGGGTATCTAAAGAAAAAATGAGGTCTTGCTTTGCATATTTGAGCATTTTGTGATGCATAACATTTGTCTTGAAGCATACACATCTGGGTTTGCATGTTGATTATATGGGTATATCCACTTTGTACATAGGTTAGAAATGGAAGAAAGTGCAGGCGGGGTGGGTTTGCATGAGTGTCTGCAGAAAGGAATAATTTTGTATTGCAATGTCTCTCTGGGAAGTTCAGCTTGATGCCTTCTCAGATTTCCACGGAGGCTCTGCTTTCCAGTTAGGGTGACTGAAACACAAGGAAATCAGGCATCCTGTGTGAGGTGGCCCAGAGAGTCAGTGGCTTGGCTGGCCTAAGAACTAGGAACCTCCTGGCTTGCAGCCCTGGGCTGCAGCCACTGGCCCCCACAGGCTCCATTTCTGAGGCTGTTCTGCGGAGTGCCAATGATCTGACATCTTCTTTAAACCATTCATCTTCCTGCCTGTCCTGGGACGGAAGCCAGGAGCGAGTGGGATGGATTAATGGCCCCACCATCAGTTTGCAAATGGTAAAACAGGTGGCCCATAAGCCTCTATTTCAAGCCTCTGGCAGTCAGGTTCACCAGAAGCAAAGGGGTCTCTGTGAGGGAAGAAGTGGACGTGGTGCCTGAAAACCTTTCAACCCGGTTCAAGGGCAGGCATGAGCGTGTTAAATGCAATGAAAAGTCTTTTTGCATCCTCCACTTCCAAACTGATTTCTTCTTTGTGGATCCTGTTTTTTCTCTGAAGGCATTGACAGTGAGGATGACTATGGCCGTGGGGACTTGGGGCGCCTGAAGAAGCAGAAAGACTTGCATAATCCTCACCTCATCTTGATGATGTTACCCCCACATCGGCTGGAGAGCCCAGCGCTGGGAGGCCAGAGAAAGAAACGGGCCCTGGATACCAACTACTGTTTCCGGTAAGTGAGAATCCTGCCCCGAGTGGCCAGGTCCCATGCCTGAGGTGGGCAAGCCTGCCAAGACTCCATGCTACCAGGAAAAGCAGAGCCCTCCAAGGGGAATGTGGGTCACCACAGTGCCACATGAGGAGCACAGCTCAGCCAGCTGCTCCTCGTGGTGTCCAAGAAGGGGACGCTGGCCAGCCAGCAGAGTCAGTGAGTGTTTCTGGCTGAGCCGTTGGCTAGTGGGAGACTTGCAAGTGGCTTCCTGGAGCACAGCCTGGGTAGGGACTGGGCAGCCCCCTGCTAGCTCCTGGTGCCAGCCAGGTGCTGCTGTGGGTGAGTGAGGTTCTACCTCCCTTGGGCAGCGGTGAAGCCGCCTGCTGGCAGGCACAAGCAACACCAGGCTACTGGGCTGCCACCACTGCTCTCCTGTGCCTCTCCTCTGCAAACACTACGTCCCTCCGGGCACTGCTGCTACTCGTCCTTCTCCTTAGGAGGCTGTGTCACACAATCGCATATAAAGCCCCTCTTTAGACTCACTGTGTTTCTATACTGTGTTTCAGGAACCTGGAGGAGAACTGCTGTGTGCGTCCTCTATACATCGACTTCCGACAGGACCTTGGCTGGAAATGGGTCCACGAGCCCAAGGGCTACTTCGCTAACTTCTGTTCAGGCCCTTGTCCATACCTCCGCAGCGCAGACACCACTCACAGCACGGTACATCCAGTATATTATCCTCTCAGGGCTCCCTCTTCCTCCCTAAGTCGGATCATATCCAGTATCTTTAAAGCAGCAAAAGCCATTCAGATCAATACTTGCAAAAAACTGTCCAAGGAAACTGCAGAAAAGAGTCTAGGTGGTTCAGGTGGTTCAGCAGGGAAAATGTGCTTCCTTTAGAGTCAATACCGAATCCATGTTTCCAGCCAAATGTTGAGGAGGATGCTGAAGTTTCTTGGATAAGATGTGAAACAGCAGGACTGATGGTTGTAGGGTATTTACTTGGTAATGGCCAGAGTATTAACTGAATTTTTCACATCAAATGTCAACTCTGGTAGTTATCTTCTGCCTAAATTTCTCCCAGAGTTTGCACTGGATAGAGGATTTTTCTACACTCTGTGCCAGGTCATTATGCGAAACTGTTGTGTCATGGCACAGAGCTGCAACCCAAAAGTGAAGGGAAGTCCATGTCCACGTCCAGAAGTGAACACATCCATGCAGTAAGCTCTCCTTTCTTCACAGGCATCCTTTCCAGCTGTATAAATCCCACCAGACCTTTCCAGGGGAGGAACCTACTAGGCAGTAAGGTTCATGAGTAAAAAATGGCAGAAAGCAGATGTCTTTTGGTAACTTAGGCATAACCTCTGTTTAATGGGAGTACACTAGACAGTCTTTGGGAAGAATACCACCTGAGCCTAGCTACTGACTACAGTGAAAGAAAATAAAATTAATAGGAAAGCACGGGCAAGGGAGAAGTACCAAGGGAAAAAGACAGAGTAAGAAGCTGAAGCAAGAAAAGCCAGAGGAAAATCCTGTGCTTCTGTCCACAGAGCAGAAAAGGTGGCAATCCAGACAACGCAACAGCTCACTAGCAGCTTAGCTTCAGGTTTTACTAAAAAAAGTTACTGGAAAAAGCAGATTGGGCTGAAGAATAGAGAACTAGGTAAAGATGATATTGCAGAAAAAATGCTAAGTTTCTTGACAGCTTGAGAGTCCGTACAGCAGCAAGGCTCGCTGAAGCTCAAGGACTAATATCAGTGGGAACAGTCAGTCTTATGGGAATCAAGGAGTGAACAGATGCTGGGCATTAAGCACAAGACAAAGCAAGGGAATGAACAGCTTTGAAAGGGTAATGGGCATGTAGCTTTACCATCTGGTTGTCCTGAGAAGCTCTCTAGTAGATAACTGGACTGAATCAGTGTAAGATGAAGAATTTAGAATAGTTCTTAATGTTCTTTTCTTGAGTGAGAAAGGAAATGATCAAGCGTTAAGGTCAGCTGAGCGATCCGAGAAACCTTTAGAACAATGTAGCTGCTGACAGCTTGCCAGCACCACCTAGGAAAAAACATGGTGAAAAGAAGATTTCTCACCAGTCTGTTTAATCTACTGTCTCTGTTGAGTAGAGCAGCCCAGAGTACCTAGTACCCCTGTGGTACAGCCAGGGGTACTTTGCTGAGTATCCCAGAGAGTTTCTACCAGAATGACTGTGATTACATGGATCTGGATGCTAGAACAGGATGTTTCCTTAGCACCTCTCGTCCCCAAAGACTGTAAAGTAGTGAAAACACAATGCCAAACCTGTCATTTACACCAGATAAGCACTAACGAGACCACAGTAGTGCAGGTGAGATCATGTTTTGGCCCCATAACTCAAGAAGCTGCTTACTGCTGAGAAGTGGCCACCTCTGGCAAGAAACATGGCAACTGTTCTGTAGCGGTTACATGGCTGAAGTGTACAGTCATCTGTGGGCTGGGGCCAGCTGGGAGGAGGAATCCAGTGGGGTCCCACAGGACACTCTCCTGGCTCCAGCATTATAGTGTAATGACTTGGAGGATGGAGTGGAGGGAGAAAGCATCAGACAGTTCAAAGCTGGGAGGGAACTGCGGATACTCAAGAGGATTGGCATCCATCCAGTGCTATCTAGAGATGTTGGTTGAAATAAGCAGCATTTCTTTCTTCTGGCTTCTCTAATGGAACCCAAGACAACATGGCCCCAGGCTAGTTACACCCAGACTTGTTAACAGCAAAAATTGTGACACTATCCACCATACCAAATTAGAGATGAAAGGAGACCGCTACTTGCACCCCTTCATCCCTTTGGCATCAGCCACAGAGCAAAGCTACTACAATTTTTTTAAAAAGTCTTAAGAGTCAGGCCAGGGCAGGTGAGACCCTTTAGAAGCTTCCCTGACTGGGAAGTGACAGGGGAGTATTAGTTGCCTCAAGGAAATACTCTCTGATAAGCATAGTCTAAACACCTAGAGACCTCTTGGCTTTGCAGTCCCTTCCTGTCCTCAACCAACTTAAACACATTCCTGACTTTGTCACCTTGTTTATTTTGTTTCTGCAGGTGCTGGGCTTATACAACACGCTGAACCCTGAGGCATCTGCTTCGCCCTGCTGTGTACCCCAGGACCTGGAGCCGCTCACCATCTTGTACTATGTCGGGAGGACCCCCAAAGTGGAGCAGCTCTCCAACATGGTGGTGAAATCCTGCAAGTGCAGCTGAAAGGCACCCTGGCCCGCCCAAAGCCAAGAGAGAAACTGTCAGCACCCACTCTCCTGCTCCCAGGATAATACAAAAGGAACTGGGGGTCAGAGACTACGCATGCTGAGGGCCAAGTGCCAAACCCTGTGGCTTACGGTCTGGCAGCCCTTGGGGATCTCTTTTGGAACATTTCTTGGTCTTGTTGGCAGTGTCATGTTCCTTCTGGGAGTTAACTTTGGTGACACGAAGGCCACACTCTTCAAAATGGCTGGACAGTTGGTGCGGAAGAGAAGGATAGGGTGGAGGAACTGCTGTATTTGAATGCTGGGTGGTTGAGCTGGGAAAGCAAGGGAATGAGAAAGAGCACAGGGAATGGAAATGGGGAGATGTTTTCTATTCTACCTTTAGCTACCTTGGGACCTCAGCCCTCCCCACTGGCCTGAAGAATTAAAGGTTTCCCCTGTAGGAGGAAACGATGGAAGTTTCTTTAGAGAAAGAAAATGCACCAAGAAGGGAAGCTGCTGAGAGAAGAAATGGTCAGAGATACACTTAGACTTTTGTTCCTCAGAGGTGTGATCCAGGAGTCCTGCAACTGAAACTCTGTCTCTGCCAAACCTGTAAGTTCAGTTGGCAGATCCTGGCTATTCATTTCTAATGCAAACTGCAAGGCTCCCAGCCAGCCTGCTGAGGGTGGGCAAATACAAGGAAAGAGGGTGCCGAGTCCATTTTCAGAGGGACTGATGTCTCCATTCAGCTCTTTTCCCTTCCTGAAGTTTCTGAGAGATTGTTTCTGGGTCAGGGCAAGAGCAGTATCTGTGGGTACCTGAATACTGGGCCCATTCATTTGTGAGCTGATAACACCCGGAGGATCTCCTGTCTGTTGTTTGTGAGGTGCTTCAAGGTGTTCTGCATGATGACCTGAACGTGGCCCAGGCCTCACCTGCCAAGACTTAAAAAATAGTAATCTCAAAAACATTGTAAAAAATAAATATTTGGGGGGGGAGATGCTCTTTTTTTTCACAAGCAAGTTGTTTGTTGGAGGGTTGGATGGTTTTCTGTTTTTAAACTGTTACTGCTGTGGCATACTCACTCAGCCTAAAGTCTTTCCCCTTTCCAAACTGTCTCTTCAAAGGAATAGACAGAATTTAAGTCAGCCAGAGAGCCCCAGAATGGAAATTCCTTGGTACCCTCAAACTGTGCCTGGTGTATATGTGCCCTGTCTCGCCCTAGTCTTTCAGATGTACATCACCTCTAGCATCCACTTTTGATAGATTCATATAAAGCTCCCCTCAAATGTAAAACACTCTCAACAATACTGTTCAAATAACCAGGGCAGCACAGTTGCCACAGCTGACAAATGTCCATTTGGATATATATGGTCTGCTAGTGCAGACTTATACACACAGGTAAATAACACACACCTCCTCCTGATTTACAGTGGACATTGTAGATGCTCATAAAAAGCTCACAATGTTGCCCAGGCAAGAAATGAATGTACTCTTTAAAAAGTATGGGCTTTTTCAGCCATAGATACTCCCAAGGGTAAAAAGTCCGGTGCTTGCATGCCACATGAGTGTCGGAGGCTGCTTCTCTGACTCCAAACCACAACTACTAAAACTCATGTTCTAGAGACCACAGAGGTTCCTCCCTGTCCCCTTGTCCCCAGCAACTGAGTGTAAAATGACACCCAGCTGGTTAGTCGCTTGTGGCCAGGGCTGTGCACGGTCAGCTCAGAATTCACCTCTTCCATCAAGCCCTTCACAATATTGGCTGCTTCCATATACCTCAGGTGAGGCTGCCGTAACATGTAATCTCAAGCATCTTAATAAACTGTAAACAACCCTTCCTGCACCATCACCGACATGCTAGAGGTGAGCAAGGGTGGGTCAGTGAAAGGAGCTTGCCGACCTGTGTGACATCTGCTGTGACAGAGGCCTCCCCAGCACTTAGCTCTGTCCCTTTCATCTCTCTGGGGCTCCTTGACCTGCCATCAGTGTGATGATGAAAGGTGCAGCTCCGATCAGTCCTGCAACACTATGGTATCACTGTGCCCTGTGCAGCTCTCCATGCCCGTGTTTCCCCCTTGCCTGCCCAAGGAGGGAGCAAATAAATGCATTATGACTACACTACCATGCTGACAGGCCAGAAATTTAGTGCCTGCAATGGGGGGTGGGGGGCGATCCAGATGCCAATTGGCGTAGGAATTCTCTCTAATCTCCTTTTAGCAGCAGTCCCTGGGGAGGTTTTGGTTTTCAAGCTGCAGTCTGTTCTTTGGTCATTGTTCCTCCTGAGCCCTGGGCTGGCTCTGCTGCCCATCCAATTGAAGGGCTTCCTTGCTAGTAAAGGGGAAAAAAAAAAAAAAACCCAAGGAGGGGGAGCTGCAAAGAGCTGAACTAGAACACTTGCACAGCTCAGTCCTACGTGGCACTTGGAGCACGTCAGAACCACCCACGGATTAACCCTGGCAAGCCCCTTGAAGTGGGTCTGTCTTACTAGCCCTTGTTCATTGCTACTCCTCGTGGCTGTGAAGAGTGGCAGAAGGACCCAAGCCATTTATCTCCTTGGAAAGGAGGTGAAATGGCAATGGAAAATCGGGAGAAGAGTCTTGGGGCATTCACCAGTAAGGACACAGGTAATCTCATGGGTACAGTAATCCTTGAAGTCAGACAGACACATTTCAGTTACTGCTTCTCTGTCCAGCCTTCTGTTTCCCTGGCAACATTTGAGAATTAGATTTGTGAGACAGGATCTGGATTCATTTTCTTACAATTACAATAGCTTTTCTAGGAGTGTTTTAGCTATAATTCAGCAACAAACTATCTACATGGGGTTAATAACAGATTTAATACACTCCTGGGTGCAGGCTTACCAAAACATTGCAGGACACTTGTGTGAGAAGGCAGAGGGCAGTTCTCTATATGCTCTGGCACTAGCTGGCAAATGGAGGAAAACAATGGGAAAGAAAAAGTGGGATCTTCATTGCCAACACTGAATACAGCCCCCAACAGTTCCCTTTTGTTGTTCGCAGGAACAAGCAAAAGCTGATGAAAACAATCCCAGCACACTTGCTGTCTCTCTAACAAAGATCAATGGTTAGAAAGAGTGAAAACCCCCTATTCTGCACTGCAATAAGGCACATCCTACACAGATGATCAAATGACCATCTGTGCAGTCCCTGCTTCTCCGTGGCATACTGTATTATAGCATGCAAGAGGCCTAGACCTGAACTTGGAACACCTTGTTTTTCAGGCTGTAGTGCGTTGTAGAGCTCTCCACAGAACACTGCTTCAGTAAGTACAGGAATGAACACTGATATTTCAGCAAAGAATAGACTTTGCAAACTAAATGAGTCTCTGTTCCCTGGACTTTGGGTTGGACAGTCTGTACCTATCTCACTGCACTTACAAAAAGCAGCAGCACATCCCCATTACTACTGTGTGAACTGGGATATGCTGCTTTGTGTTTCATCTTTCCATAACAAAAGGCATCAATATACACAGTAAACAAGATGGACCACATCCAAACGTAATCAAAGATACAAAATATACAAACATACCTGCCCACTCCTCTGATAACATCACAGCTCCATTCCGCTCTGTCCTGCGACATTTCACGTCTCTCTCCCTTGTAGCTACTGAATCTCCATTCTCTTAGTTCACAGATCCTTTTCTCATTTTTCTATGCTGCTCTGAAGCTTTCCTCACCTATGACCAGAGTCCTCATGAGAGCAAGGAGGTCTCCAGGCTCAGACTATTTTGTAAAGCAGTCAGCCATCCCGTGACGGAAGAGGATCCATTGCAATGCCTTATGAGGCAGATGTCTTCAATGTGGTCTGGAGTCCAGCGTGGAGCAGGCTCAGGACTGCAGGGTGACCAGGACGCAGTTCTAGGGCCAGCTCCATTGGGCAGAAAAGGTTTTTTACCCACTACCAGTGTTTCCAGTGGCATGCAAAACATGAGCTCTATAGTACTTCTCTTAACAGGTGATTGAAAGACAATGAAAGCAATCAAGAAAATACAGTTTTCAATACATATGAAGCCAACAGCATGACATCTACACACGTGCAATAGATGGTTTTATGGGCTGCCTATAACCTACCTTAATTGTGGTTTAGAGTAACAGCACCAGTTTGGATACAGTGCAAGGACGAAAACACACCTAATCCTTCAAAAATAACATCTACTAAAATGATTTTTTTACATTCAAAATCACAAGAATATATTGGTCAAAAGCTGTATAAAATTAATAACTAACACACATACTATGATATTTAGTAAGAGAACACCTGGACTTTCAGGTGTCTGCTTTGCCAATATTTTCTTTTGTATGCAGGGAAGTCAGTTAAGCCCTGGTTCACTTTTGACAAACTCCAGAAGTGATAGATGGAAGCACTGAGCTTGTCCTCTCTTGAAGAGAGGCTTCAGATGCCCTGTACAAATGCAAGATCCTTTATCATGCAACAAGTCAACGTAGAAGAGATGAGGCAGTTTCACTCATTGGGAAATAGACTGCCTTGGAAATGAAGTCAGATACATCAACAAGAAATACAGCAAATGAAAACTGCTGATTAATGGCTGCCATTCTCTTCTCTAAATGACATTAATGCATTTGAGATACCACTTACACACATAATTTGAGAAAGAATATGGTACCACACTTTGGATGTCACACTGTGTTTCCAGGAAAGACTAATTTCAAAGATTACAGACCTCAGTTGATTGGCTGCTTTTAGAACATCCTTATCTTGGGCTAGGTTGCACAGGGGAGATGGCAGAGATGATCTGAGGGCATTCAACCAAGCAACTGGGCCCTTTCCAGTACTGGGCTATGATTTCATGGAAAATACACTTAGGGATAAGGACCTTTATATCTGGTACAGAATAGAGGTTTCTTTACAGCTGTGGTTTGTGGCAAAACCCCCCCTCCCACATTATTGGTTTCCCACATCCTGCAGACTTAGTGAACAACTTTCAGGCAGAAACTCTATCCCCTGTGGCATACGCAGGCACTGTTGAATTATACCAAGGAATATCAATCTTTCAAGCGGTATCTTCTGGAGACAAAGATTTATTTCTCCCTCTTTCATGGGGGTAGTGGTCTTTGTGCAGGGTGATATTCTTCATCTCTCACTCCACTTAGCTGGCTAGGCAAGATGATACCTCATTGCTGTCCACAGAGACCGATGCAAGAAATATTTACATGTAGGGGTTACGCATGTTGCAGAAAGCAAAGGTGACTTCCTTTTCTAGTCTGCCAGCACTCAGACATTTCTCACTAGCTGTTTACAGATATTAATTCATCACATACAGAGATCAGCATGAGGCATTATAATAATATATCATGGTCAGTGCATGTACATCACTTGATGAAAGAAGCCAGCTGGGTCATATCAAACCAGAGATTTCCTGACATTCTTCAGGAAGGATTTCTTTTTTCTCCTAAAGTTATTATCCTCTTCAGGAAGCAGACAAAACAAAGATTCACTGTGCAGCCAGGAGCAAATCTTACAGGATTTGTGCAATGCATGTACCGTAATGACTGGGGAATGTCTTTGTAACCATGTTCTGGTCCTTTCTTGAAACAAAAATTTATGGTCTTTTGAAGTGCTGAAACCCTCTTGCAGGTAGACTAGATGCTTGGGAGATCTCCACTGTTTTCAAGGATTTGTAAGAAACTCCACTTATGGGGAAAAAGCAGTAGCAGACAGTCTGACTCCCCACAAGAGTCTCTGGAAGACATCCAGCTTGCAACAAGCTGCCTTGGCGTGACACAATTTGACATCTGCCCCCTCAAAGGACACTTGCTACAGAAATCCCTAAGCATACTTTAGAATCTGAAGGTCTCATTTGGATACTACCACACTAAGTGCTCTATTGTGCTAATCTGAAGAACTGGAAACAAACAGCAGAACAAACAATGAAGGGAAACAAAATAAAGAAAGCAGCAATAAAATCTCAGGGAAATATAGTGTGGCAGCAGTTACAACGTGCTGACTACACATTTTAAATCGTCTTTCATCAATCTCACCTGCCCTAAGCCAAGCCATCACACAAAAGACCTAAGAAACTTGCAGAGCCACAATTTGGCAGGAAGAGCCACCAATCTTTATTCTTATATATTTTTCATGAGAAATTTTCAGTAGACGTATGGAAACACGAGTTTTGTAGGTCTGTGGATAAGAAAAAAAAATCCTAGCTGATATCATACACAAAATATATTCCACATTGAATTTCTGGAGTTAGAAATGGTGGAGAAAACACACTTTCAGGAGGGAAGACAACCTCAATTTGAACGGTGGAAAGCATCATGCAACTGGAAGCAGAAGTACTGTAACTAGTGGCACTAATGGGATGCCTACAACTCCATTTTCTCTCCCAGTAGATTGACAGCTGTCCATCTGCACACCTTGAAAAACGGCACAGAGATCCTAGATGTATTAAATATATCTGACACAGCATGACCTTTTCAGAAGGCCATATAAATAAGGCAAAACCACTTGAAAAACATGAGATGAATCCTATACAGTAATTAATGGAAACAGTCATGAAAAATTCCTTGTCATTTTTCTTCCCCAATCTCAGGAAAACAGAAAAAAACAATTAGAATGAGGGAGTGATGGCAGTGAAACATTTGGACCTGGCAGTAGAGGAACTTTTCAAAGATCCCTTCCTGACTTTTGACATAGTAGTGCTCAAGATGCAGGGAACAGATCATTAACCCCAAAACATTTTTTGAGGAGATTTTATGACTTCTGAACATAACTAGACTGAGTACAGTAACTTGTCTCCTTTTAGTCTGGGGGAATAACGATATTTACTGTTGCTATAACCATGGTGAAACGAGATTTTCTAAAATACTCTTGCAGGGACACCAATTTAAACTAATGTTCTGGGGTTATCTTCTGTTGCACATCCCAGAACACCAATAGGCCAAAGGCCAAACACAATGCTGAAATTGCTTTCAGCGATAACAGCACTTCTTCCACCTGCCCCAAACAAGCAATAAGAATTCTGGTAATAAAAGATACACTTTTAAAGCCCCCAAATTCTTAACATTTGCATCAAATTTGTTTTTTTAAGGCCAATTCAATTTTTTTTTGTCTGATAGGTTGGATAAAGAAGCCACTCCTTTTCAAAGTTCTTTTCAAGATTTCTCAAGCTTATTGTGTGTGCTGTAGGCATGGACTTGTAGAGAAGAGGCCCTGTTAAGTGCACTCTTTTCCCTCGGGAACCACTATGATTCACTGGCAAAGGCTTTACACCAGTGTCTCCACAATGATCTGTGATTCTTTCCTCTAAAGAGGAAACAGCAGTAAAAACTCTTTTTCAATGAGGGCCAGCAAAATCCTTTTTTTTGGTAAGGTAACAGACAGAGCAGACTCCTCAGGGCAGACCTGGTGTCCTGTTCGTCACCTGTACTTCAGTGGAGTTTGTCCTCTGTGTCAAAACTACATGGAGACGCTGTTGCAAAAACTCAGAATCCAACAATTTTGGAGAAGATCAGCTTGCATTTCCTAACTACTCATCTCTAAGGCACCAGGGAAACTTAATCTGACTCTTTGGAAAAGGACAATAGGGTTCTAAAGTGGGAAGAAAGCCGTTACCAGGTACTGTAGTTCTTGAAGATGTGCTGTGGCTGTGCACATTCACCCTGAAGGTGCTCTGCACTCAAGCACTTTGGAAGACAAAGATGGTGAGAAGTGAAACATGTATGAATAAGATAACATAAGAGCTTTGGTTAGTGGTAATTTTCTTTTCACTTATATTTAAGTGATTAACCATTTGCAAACATCATATTACAGATGAATTCCATAGAGCAACCTACTTTCCCCCCAAATCACAACTGTATAGAGGTGGATCTTGGTGCTCTGTATGCTCTTGTAACAGCTTCATCATTCTGAAAGCCTCTGCAATATATAGTGCCCACCCAGGTGAAGGTGTATGCAAGCTGCTTATGACAATTGGGCAGATGTCAGCAATGGAGGCTTTTCTTAGAGAAACCAACACCACAGAGTGAATTCTGATGGAACATGCTGCTGTCATGGAAGGCAACTTTGCCTTGGCTTTTCAAGTAGGCTATACCGTAACCATCAAAATAAAATATCCATACAAAGTCAGACTAGAAGATCATCTAACCCACCTCTCATCTCTGACAGTGGTCAACAGCACAAGCCTGACAGCCAAGCTAAAAATTGGAAAAGCCCATTGTGATACTTCTCCAGAATAGCCCCTTAAAAGTCTTCGAAACTTCCTGCTTGTTTTTAGTTCTAGTATTTAATATGCCCTAATAAATTACTCTTCCATAGGTTTGTCTACTTTTCTTTTCAAACCACATACACTTTTTTGTATCCATAACATCTTGTGACAAGGAGTTCCATAGGTGAATTACATACTGTGAACAATAACCGCACGCGTGCCCCCTTTTTTCTCCCCTTTGAACCTGGTATCTTTTAGCTTCACTTGATGCTCCTACTTCTTTTAGCAGGCTAGACTGGGAACAATTACTCCCTTTTCACCCTTATGAACCTCCACGCCCACACCTTTTCCAAATAACCACTTTCTGTCTGAAGAGAACTGTGATTGTTTTGTGCTCTTGCTGTAACCACTGTCAAGGACTGTTTGACTGATCTGATTCTATAAAGATAAAATAAGGTCCTCCTGACGTTTGGCGTAAACAATGATGTCTTAGCTCTAGAAACAGGAGGTTCAAAACAGAAGAAAAGGAGGTCAAGTCCCAGGTTTAAGTAAAGCTCAGAAGCTTCTTTTGGAAGAAACTAATGATAGATCCACAGGAATAACATGTCCAAAAAGGTAATATTAAGAAAAGGATCAATCAGGCAGTTACTTACTGCAACCAAAAATATCCAACTATTTAAACACCAGCAAATAACCACCCAGATTCAAACAGTGAGCCCAGGATTATTATGAGCAGCAAATGTAGGACTGACTGAAGAAAAAAGTCCTTGAAAGTTTGATCAAGTAAACCTTAACAAAAATCTCAGGAGCCAGACTACTTTTGTTTCCAGCAAATAATCCAAAATAACAGGAAACGTTGTATTAGTACAAGGTACAGGCCTGAAAGAATGCACGCTGAGGATCCAATCTCATCTATAAGTCAATGATCTCCTTTACAGGTGAAGAAGAGGAATGGTCCAGCACTGCCAGCCATTCAACTCCATGCACATGGAGACTATCCATATTCTGGTATGAAGAAGAGGCACAGCATTGAGATTCTTACCAACAAACAACTACCTTGATACCAAACCTCCTGCCGCAGTGTGGAACCAGTATCAGAGACATGTATGTCCACCTTCCAGGCATCATAATGAGGAATGTTTTCAACAAACCATAAATGTCCACAAGCATATCTAGTCTTGAGAATGGAAATTTCAATGTGTGTCATTGGCGACTAAGTGGTCTATCTAGTGTGACAACACGATCTCCCACTCACGTGGCTTGTGAGACTGTTTAAAAGGCCAAGATGAATCATGTAAAGGTGAATTTAATAATTCATGTATGGAGTACAAGTCAGCTGCTTCTTGAGAGGAGAGAATCGAATATCCCTCCCTTGATTTTTATGTTGTGTTATGCTCAGCACAGAATGCTTGTATGAACTCTGCATTGCTGCAGCCTCTAGGACTCCAATAGACACCTTACTCCTTTCAAAACTAACACGCTTGATTCTCTGTCATTGGAACAGGCTCCTTAACTTAGAAGTGATGCAAACATCACAGAGTAGAAGAGGAAGACCCCTTGGTTACATTATCCAATCTCACCACTGAAGCAGACGTTGAATGATTGTCAGGGCTTTCTATTGGTAATTTTCTTCTCTCACAGTAAACAAAGGCTCTTTCAATGAAACTCGTTGATGAATACAGGGAATTAAATGTCATAAAACCAGACAAACTAATTGCCACTTAAGGAGCATGTGTAGAATTGTACTCCCCTCATATGCAAGTATAAATCCAAAATGGTTTCCTATTCTCCTTTCTTCCCTTGTACTAGAAAACACTTCCTGTAAAATGCCTTCTCTCCAAGATGTGTGGGAAACAGTTCCACGTCTCCCCATTGAATCTCTTAACTGAAGCACTCTCTGAGAGGTTTTTGGAAAGGGACAGACATGGAGTAACAGAGCTGCAAAGAGACAAAATACGTACATACAGTACATAGTATCCACCATGCACAAAGACACACTCGGACTCCAGGCTGAGAAGTACATGGAGATGGAAAAAAGTATGAGGCTAGAATCCTAGGATTTGTTCCTGATTCTGTACTGCACACGCTCTCAAGGTAACAGCATTTGTGCTCAGAACTGGGATCAGCAGGTGCCCAAGGCAAAGGAATACTGCTATTTCCTTTGATGCTCTGGCTGCCCTGACACATCCTGAGGCTGAACAGGAGTTCAAGGTCTAGGTGTTTCACTTGAGGTAAAAGGCCCAGTCTTGATATCCCTGGTGTTTGGTTTATTTTATTTGTTGGAGGCAGAATAAAAATTTTCCAGGGACAAAGGATGCAAGACTTCACTGCTGCTGAAGCTGACAAAATTCATCCCTTTGAAATGAGAGCCTTAGACTGCAATGTGCATTTCTCTGAATATTTCAGAGACAAGATGTCTGATATACTGCTACTAAGTCATGACTGTTACACATGCGGTGTTGGCTACATCTAACAAGCCTTGCAAAGTTCAGAAAACATGCTGGCTATAACCGAGTACAAATCATCCCAAAATGAGTGGGTGGGGGGCTGGCAAAGCTTACAAAACAATTAACCTATGTTCATAACAAGCTAGCAGTAGTTGGTAATTTGCCAGACAAGTAAGAATGCTGTTTCTGCCAAAGATCCTCTGAAGACAATCAGCCTTCTTAGGCTAACCGCGCATTTAGATCTCCATCCTCCAGACCTCTATATAGTTTTCAGTGCTGGCTGTGACAACCTGAATCAAGAAACTAGAGAACAAAACCAGAGATAATGGTTCCACAAGGATGTATATCCTATAGCTACTCGATCCTGCACGTGAAACCCAGAGGAACAAGGATAACTCAGCTTCCCTGGGAGGAAGCAAGGAATGGCATCTATTATTTACTGAAGCTAAACATTATAGGGAAATAGCCCCTCCAACAGTTCAGGAGCAGAGCTGGCGGCTATAGCCAATACCACATGTAGCAGAGTAGGCTGTAAGACAGACCCAAGGTCTTGAAGCCCACAGCTGCTGAGAATGTGCAGAAGTTTGAAGTAACTTCTGCAACTAAATTTTCACTAGTAATGAGCTGACAACTTGATGCACCAGTAGAAACATCTGTCTCAGAGATCCATGGGTGGAATTCAGTGATTACAGATAGAAGGGACATGATTTGAAAGTAACTTCACAAGATTTTACAAATCTCTTGGTCACTATGATACGTGATGGCAGCACAGGCAGCAGATAAATGTTGTGGAGATTCTTGAGGAACACAGCTGAAAAATGCAGAGAAAGTGAACAGAATCATGACTGTCTAGAAAATGAAAGATAAGCCAATGAAGTAAGAAAGAGAACACCTACATCAGCAAACTGCATTTTGGACAAATGAACGCATTCAATGTCTCTGTCATATGCATGACTGGAACAGAAATAGAAAAATGCGTGTTCTGTCCTATGAATTCATGCCTGGAGCAAGTGATAGTGAAACTAATGGGGTATGAACATAATTATTTCATCTTCTTACAATTTATCTGGTCTTGAATGACAGAAAATATGCACAATCCAAGACTGAACATGAACACAATCATTTCAAGAGAAAACACTTTCCCCCTCTGACATTGTTTCTTCTGTCAGACATTTGGGTTGATCATTATCTACTTGCCAACACACGAGAATGATCTCTTAACAATGATTATACAGGCTAGAAATGACAGGGGAGCTGTGGAATAAGAAAACAGATGAAACAGGCTGTTAGAATCCAATCTCTGAGGGCTCTGATAAAAACAATTTTGTCCCTTTGAGAATCACAGTCATACCACTTGCTGTTTGACAAGGCAGAAGTTGCAGAATACTGAATTTTTCTTTAACCTGGCACTAACAAAGAGCCAGAGCTGAAGCTGCTTCCTGTTCATTTTAAGGATGGGTGGATCTTCTCTCCAATACTTTTTCCAGCTGCTGACGTTGTTTTCTAACACAAGCAAATTAATTTTCATAGCATTAGGCAAATTTTAGCTGGAGTGCTTCACCAAGCCACTATTGCAATTGATAGGAGCCACCTGGGCCTTAGGGTTCAAGCTTGGGTCTGAAAACATCAGCCAATTTAAAAAGTTTATGAAGCCTAAACAAACAGAAATCAAAATATAAAAATAAGCCACACAGACAGTGAAACAAAGACAGATTTAAAATCCTACCCAATATAATGACAGAAAATATTTTGGGCATGTGAATTAATAATGAAATTATAACCAAAACAGACAAATGAAATTACTTTATTCAAACCAATCCTTTCTATGGCTCTGTGCCAAAATTCAAGACGGCAACCAACATGGATGTATCCAGTCATATGTTCTAATATTTTTCTCTGCTGATGGTTGCCATGTGATGACAGCAGAGAATCTTGGCTGATACCAGACTAGGACAGACTGAAATGGCTGAGCATATGAGATTTTATGTTCAAACCTGGACCTTAGGAAGAACAATACAGACAGCTGGAGGATCTCTGTCTTATAGAAAGATCTCATGGTTAGTGATCAGGAAGAGGCGAGAGGAAGGGCCTCCAGGATTCAGAAGCAGAAGCTCTCAGAGGGAATAATTCACCTCAGCTTGAAGGTGCATCACCAGCTTCCATGGATGTTCAAGTACTCTCCTCAGTGGGTTGTCCTCTCACCGGGGCCTCCTCCTTGCTCTTTCCAGGTTGTTATGGGAGTGTGGTGGTATGAAGTCACTGCTGCTTTTTCCTTTGCCCCACGTTTGAAGCAACACCCTGGATTCCTCACCTGGTGGTTCGCTGTTTGTCCTTCTCTGTGAGCAGAGGCTGGAAAAAGCACAAAGCAAAGATTTTGAGTAATCACAAGGGACTGTTTTGTGGGAAAAACTGCTGGGCTGCTCTGCAGATCTCAGCTATCACCACACATCTGGACTTCCCTGTCACACAACCTCTCTCTACAGTAACAGATGAGATCACAGATCAGCATGACAAAACCTAACTTAATAAGCTACTGTGTGAAAAAGTACTCTTGGCATTCCTCTTAAGCCCCAGAATACCTTCTCCACTCTTCACCCCTGACTCATCTTTTCACATGCTCCTCCAGTAGCTCTAAAGCCTTCTCCCCTATCAGTATGCTTTGTCTCTTTCTTTGTGTCTTTTACTCATTTGCTTGCATGAGAGTCTACTTCCCCACTCCAAAAGATGTTGAGGACTGTGGTGCAGGAGAGATGGGGGTGAGAAAAGGTTGATCTTCAAAAGAAACAAAATGGGGATAAGGAAAAAAAAAAAATTCCCATTCTTATAGATTTTAATTCTACATACCGCAACATTTTCCTAGCTAGGCATGTTATGGGAAAAGGTCAAAGTCATCTTCACTTCTCTTACTTAAAAATCCTTAAACAGTCCTTTAAAAAGAAAAATCCAAAACACTTAAAAATGCACCAAGTTTATTTTGGACAGTTTGCATTTTACAGCTAATCTAGTAGGTAAGGCTTGTCCTGTGTATTTAGCATATCAGCTTGCTCCTAAATGTAAGTGACATTTGTTGAGAGCTGTTTATTAAAAATATTGCTATATTTAAAAAAAATACACTCTCCTTGAAAGCCCAACATAGAGCCAAACATCGCACAGCACAGAGGATCTGGAAAGACGCTTAGAAAGCAGGATTGCCAGCTATGTCACTGCACAGAAAGTTTGGAACCTGAATTAGGAACCAAACTGTCAACCACGTGTATTAAGATAGGATACCAGTCCAGAAACTTACCCCTTGGCAATATACTGAAACTAAGGAAACAAAGGCACATGAGACAGGCAGCCAACTTCAACCTCATCTTCCTGTTTTGAAGAGACTTTTGAGCCTTCCCTTTCCTACAGAAATGCATGGTACGGTTTGTCTTTTCTTACTAACTGAATTAAAATCACTTTGAGTGAGTTCCTCTTTATGGCTACCTTGAGGAGTAAACAGAGAGGGGCGTTCCTATGTCTACAAGTACATATGTAGGTTCATACCGTTAGTGCAGCTCATGGTCAATTTAATAATTTCATAAACATTAATGTATGTAATTCTATTAAGTTTTATCATCTCAAAGCTAGTGGTGAGCATTCCACCTCCTTCTGCGTTGAACAGGTTGAGGTTCTGGTTGAGCAGGGGGGACAGGAAAAAACCTCATTCCTGACAGCAGCCAGCATTAAGGGTTGATTTTCCCTCATGACAAGAGTAATTGCAGCGTATCACCACATACAACAGAATGAATCTCCTTTATTCTTTGCCTGCCAGGAGGTGTTAAAGTATCTGCCTGTATGTCTGTCCACATGTTTACATATGATTATGTCACCCATGACCGCACATCAAAAACTTTAACACTTTTGTACTTAAAACAGTTACAGTGTGTGACTTTCATTTTATGGATATGATTCTGAGTCACAAGGAAATCACAAGAGTTGTGTCAAGTCATTTATGGGATACCTGCACACTGAATTTCAGTGCTATATAGACTTTCCCAGCACTGACTTACACAGCTTTGGTCAGACATCAGCACCTAATCTATTCTGCTTCCAAACTGCAGGAATGAGTCAGAGAAGAGCACTAGGCGAGGTGACAGTGCTGGGTGAGTGAGGGAGCCACACTAACATTTTCTAAGAGCTAGTTTGGGCTGTTTCATCATACCCACAGCAAGCTTGTGGCAGAATTAAGAATCATGTCGAAGCATCCTGAACTTAGTGCTGAAAACAGGAACTTCCTTTCTCCCTGGAAAGCTCTGATAATCCTAGAAATTCAGATTTTTTTATCCCAGAGTAGAGGGAATTTCTAATCCTAGAGTGACGCCCAGCATTCTCTTGATAATATATAGTGCAACTAAGAAAGGCAATAAATAAATGGGGTTTATTTATATCCATGGGTAACTGACACTAGCAAGCCAGGACAGCTGACAACAGAAGGCGAGCCTTCCCTCCCCCATCTTTTGGGCACGATTTCAAGTTGGCTTGCTGGACTGGGCAGGCAAGGGAAAGCAGCAGTCCCAAGTCATGAAGATTTAATTAGAGGGGGTAGGGGTGCGTGACACAATCAGCACACACAATTGCATTTGAATGGTCTCCCTGCACGAATAGAGCAACCTCACTAACAAGTGGAGAAATAGCAGTGGAAGCCAACATGAGCCATCCCGCTTCCCATGTTAGAGAAGACACGGGGAGGGCTCCTCTCCCTAACTGCTAATGCCCTTCTGTACTTGACCGCCTTCTTTCTGATTTCTCTTATTCAGCTCCCTACTCCCCAGTTTGTTGTGGCTCTCTCTTCTCTGGCTCTTCCCCACACTTCATTTCATAACTTCTGACACTCCTTTTACCCTATTCACACACATTTTTGGCTTCTATTTTTAGTCTCAATAAAATAATGCCAGATTAAAACAAAATCCAATTTGGATAGGCAGAGTCATCCTCTCTATAGGTCGCTTAATGCCAAAGGGCCAGATGTGAGACAGAAGTAGCCAAGATATTATATAAACTCTCCCCAGTCTTCGCACACCTGATCTTGAAGGACATTTCCAACACCACAAGGAAATACAGGCAGCTCGCCATCATCTAACTACCGAGAACAAGCAACCCTCAGCCTCCAGGCAGGCAAAAATGCCAACTGCCTGAAGTCATTACTTATCCTGCTTTGGAGTTTTCTTTGAGTCTGTCAGAAGTGAAGGCTCCTAGAATTCAAGCTGGGTTCGAGTTCTTAAACAGCGAAGCTGATTTCTAGAGACTGCCCTTTCATTTTTCTCCTGCTTTCCCAGTGGTCCTGAGAATTGAAATGTCCTTTCAGTGGCATGAGACCAGTAGTAACAGGAAAAAGCTCCTTCTTTTCATAAAAGAAAGGCAGAAGGTTGACTGAAGGTGTGAGAGACAGGCTGCTCTCACAAGTTAAGGAACAGATGTTATTTCTGATCATTAAAAGTGAACAGTTCTAGCTGAGACCTAGACTTGGACATCACCTTCTTAACATCATCTGAGAAGGGCCTGGAATGCTGCTTTCAGCAGAGGTTTACATTCTGCTGGGATTTAATGAAACTTATTCACCATCTTCTGATAACTGCATATACTCGAACACAGTCATGCCCTGTTGATAATTTATATCTATTATAAAGGTACTGGTTAGACATACCAATATTTGCTCATTGCCAGTCATAAGGTTCCCTGCTCCTTCAAAGAGTACCAAGGAACGGGGTAAGGAGAAGGTCTTTCTTTACCTTCTGGTCCCTCTGCTACTACAGGCTTGTCTGTCATAATCTGACCCAGGACAGATGCAACAACTGTAGCAGGGAGAGAAATTATCTTTTCCCCCTTCCTGTTTGCCCTCTTTATGAATCTGCAAGTCAGCAGGGGGGAGAGAGAGATGCATGTTTTTGTCATGTGTGAAAGAACAATGGTTTTATGAAGATAATTCTAAGAACAAATGTGAAACCAAATATCCTCCATTTTAACTGATTCTTTGCCCTCTGAAAAAGGGAGGCACAATAGTAGCATTCACCTCAAGCTCCTGATTTCCAAAATATGATAAAACAGGCTGGTTCCATTTCTCAATAACCCTTTCTCTTCATGGAGATGGCACTATGAAGAGAGAGATGCTGACTGAATGTTATTACTGCTGTTGACAAAGGCCTTATGCAGGGTGAGAGGCTGCACTGGAAAAATTTGATGCAAGCTGTTGGATATCACACTGCTATTCCCTTCCAGTGGCCCATCCAGACCTTCTCAGCCAGACAGGTGGTCCTGGAAGGATTTATGAGGAAAAGCTCATCATTACTCCATTCCTGGACTAGGATAAGTAATGAGATGACATCAAAAGCTGCTCTCTTATGTCATAAGATATCTTGCACCTACGTAGCCAACGTAGTCTGAGGTAGAGGTTACTTGAGGTGCCCATTTGAAGGTCACCTTTCAAAGTCAAGACCACTTGTGCAGTCAGTCACAGCAACAAGAGAGAATCAGGAGGGTGGCAAATGAAGACTGGAATTAACAGGATTAGGGTGAGGGAGGAGGCGTACCAGCAATGTGCTGTGCAGAAACCTGAGTGATTTCTTTTCCCAGCTGCTCCTGATGAAGGATTTGGACAGTGTGGTGAGACCAGCTGAAATCATAGCCAAGGTTCCTCTTGGGAATGTGGTAACAACATAAAAATAAATACATTAGTGTTCAACAATCGACTGCCTTCCGAGGCTGCAGGGAAGCCTGGCAGAAGCTGAGGAAGCCTGGACAAGGCTGGGCAGCTGGGAATTCCACCCTCTGCAGCAAATGGCTGGGACTCTGACACAGGCCGTGCACGGTGGCAACAGTACATATCCTATCCCACCCCTACCCTTTGCACACCAAGAGAGTTGAGAGACACTGGCTGACAAAAGAATCTCCAAATCCCAGGCATTTTCTTTGTTTAGATCTGGCAAACAATACAAAGTGGTTGTATGCCTCTTGTTTAACTACCTGTTAATTGCCCCCCCCCCCTTTTTTTTTCTTTTTTCCTTTTGCTGGTCCAGGATAATTTTGAAGCTTGTACTTTTGCATACCTGCTAAAAGAATCTCGGTTTTTCTTTTTTTAAGCTTGTATAAAGAGGCTGCATTTCAGGAATACTGATAATTCAAACAGAGGGTAGACAACAGCCAGTCACAGCTTAGCACATCCAACATTAATTTCAGGTCTCAGAACAAGACACACATGACGTTCTTATAAAGGTACATTCAATAATGTTGGATATACTTTAGAAATACACGGTCTACCTGTAGATTTCCTGTAAAATGAAAAAAATCTGGAGCATGGTAGATACAGAGAAGGGTAAGAGCAAAAGTGCTCCTTACTATCACTAGTTTGCAAGCAGGCCACATTCATTGCTCTGTACCGGACCACACTGCTTGCACATTCATCTTATTTGGATGGCATTCAGACACTGCTCTCCACCTTAGCCTAAAGAAGGAAATCACTAGAAAACTAAGAACAGCAGCCTGCCTTCTGCACGAATTAGATCCAAAGCAGTTTATTAATCCCCATATTCTTCAGCTAGTCTCTTGGCAGTTCAGGATACAGTTTTAAGCCCTTACAGATGATGATGCACTTTATTTCAAGGGGTTGCATACCTCCAGGACTTGGCATTCATGCAGATAGTGGGGGCAGGTCAATGTCTAAAGTAAACAGACAACTGTACAGCATCCTTCAACTAAGCTCAGATACAGACCTGGGAATCACAGGGAATAAAACCAAGTCTATACCATCTAGCTCAAGAAGTTTCCTCCCTAACTTCCACCAAACCAGGTGGACATCTGAGACTTTGTTTGAATTAGCAGTCTTCACTGCTGTCAAACTCAGACGGCATATTACTAACTTTTACCTCCCCTAATCAGTAACTCTAATGATTTTTTTCTTCTCCCAGCACACATAGTGGAAAAGCCATGTGGACACTGGTATAGAAACATTAGCACAATAAAACTGCATCACTGTTAATCAGTCTGAGTATGAAAGGGTGAAAGTCCTCTCAAGTCTGGAGCCAGGCAGTAGTCTTGTCCAGTTTTAATCATGATTCGTATTTGTTTGTAATTATATAGGTTATTAGCTCATTATATTTTTGCCATAGCACAACAGAACCACAGAGGCATTCTGTCTTCTGAAGCTTTTAAAATAAAAATTTCACGAACTCTGAAGGAGTTGGCAGCAAACAAAAGAAAGAAGCACAAAGACAAAAGACAGATTTCACTCATAGTCGCTGTTACTGTTACAAACCAAACCAAACCAAATCAAATCAGCTCAGGTCATCACCTGTGCATCCACTCCACAACTGCACTGAGAGACTGCCTGGGACAATGTTGTTGTATTTTCATGAAGTGCCCTTCATACTCTATTCTTCTTAAAACCTGCTTTGTGGTAGTGTTTTCAAAAAGGAAGAATAATAATTATAATAAATTTCTAACTATGAGGTCTTCTACATAGCTACAGAACTTCCCTGACGTTTCTTGCCAGTGGTTCAAAAGCAAAATTCTAGTGGCAAAATGACATCTTTTTTACCTAGAACTTCATTTTTTTTGGAGAAAAAGAATTCATGCATTATTCACTTAATGTCACTAGAGAGGAATAGAAAATAAAACAGCAAAATATGGCAAAATGTCTCCATATACCTTATATTGTTAATATATACAATTTAAAAAAAAAAATAGACAAATCTGTAGGTTCCTTCCTTCATCATCTGAACTTGCCATATTAAACACGGCCTCATAAAGACAACCTGGAACTGAACAACCCACCATTTTACTTAGATTAGCTGCAAGCTATATTCTGAAGAAGACCTGGAAAAGGGAATTGATTTCTTAGTTCACAATCACCCTCTTTCGCTAATACTAACTGAATAGTTAAATTCCAAGAAGCACGAATCAGTGTAATGCTGAGGGACCTCCAAAGTAACACAGAATAAAAAAAGCAACGTGATGATGGCTGTATTTTCAGAATAACTGACAACCCACTAGCGGCTGGGTGTTCAATTTCAGTGAAAAATCAGGTCAGAAACATTTTGAACGTTCCCCAGAGGTAGCAATTCTCAGTATTTCTTTAATAGAATGTATCACGTTAAACTTCCATGAACTTTGATAGGAAACTGTCTGTTCAGACACTACAAATAACCCCCAAATGATAGCTTGCAGATTTAGCTTCCTGTCTGTAGATACTCATGAGAATCTCTGCCTTCTCTCTCATTGCACCAGGGGCACACAGCTCACACAGCTTCTGCCTTTCCATGAAATGAGGATGAGGCCATAGGGATGAGAGGCCGCCACGCTTTCATTGTAGTGGTGGCCTGTTTTACAATCTTGAGCTGCTTTGTAGAAAATCTGACTTTCATTCTCCCTTTTACTTCATCTCAAGAGCTTGATTTCACTACACAATATTATCTAGAACTGCTATTCTTCTACAGTTTAAGTACAAACTACCAGTGAACGGTTTTCTGGATAATCTGGTTAAAAGTTTCCAAACTGCCTGACTCTCACTTCCTTTGAGTATCCTCCTTACTTTCAGTTAGATCATTTGTGAGACCTTCATGCTGCTTCCCTGCAGAGCCCCATAGCTATCCTCACATAGGCTGTTAGAGGAGAAGGCCTATTCAAACTTCTAATTTTTAACATTTGTGTGCATGTTTATACAGAGGTTCTGCCTGGTTCCTCTTTCATCTCTGCAACTTTTCACAGCCTTCTATCTTTAAACGCTTGCCGTTTATTCTGTAATCTGCTTTATGACTTGTGTCTCCAACCCCTCTAGTTGGTATCTAGGATACTAAATACATGTGAAACAGTAACCCCAAATAAGCTGCTGATGAGGGAAATCAGGGCCCGAGCGTATGCAATCAATGGAGAGAGTGAAGAAGAAAAACAGCTGTTCCTGCAGGAAGGACCAGAGTAGTTTCTGAGACACACAGACTGGGCACAGCAGCCTCTGACGCATACCAGTGGCTTGGTGCAAAGCTGAAGAAAATATCATTCCCCAGTTTCCAAGAACAAACATTTTGCTCTAGTTAGTTCAATCACCACGATATTTAGCGCTGTTCTTGGAGCTATATACCTCTTCTGGCGACAAGGAAGCTGTGAGCAACCCACCCGCCAGGGTTCTGCTAGCCTTCCCTGAGCCAAACAAGGGTTCTAAGCTCTCATGCTCTTCACTAAATGGCAGAGTAAACCCTTTGTTTCAGCCTCCGAGAGGGTAAGTTCAGCACAGTCCCACCAGCCTAGTCCTGCAGAAGGAAACAGGAGCTGAAGTTCTCAGTTCTCACTGGATTACAAGTATTTCCAGAGAGGGTGACTACCCTGAACTTTGTAGTGGTTATCTAGCCTATATTATTCCTGCAGCCCTGTCAGTTGCCTTCCATCATTAATATTATCAACAATCCTCACACGTGCTCGCCTAAGTACTCACAGAAACAGGGGAGGATAGAAAAACGCTACCTACAAACCACAGACACACGTAACAACGACAGCACCCAGAGGAGATGGACAGAATCTCTTGCAGAGGTTAAAATTACAGGGTGGCAATCATGACAGTGATCTTAAAACTGTGACAAAGGCAGCAGAATTCAGCACACAAACACTTTCACGTAAGTCCACCAGCAAACCAGTTTGGTAAACATATTGAGAGAGAAATTTTTACATTTAGTTGTAAATTTCTGTGTGACCTTGCCTTATATGATGTATAAAAACTCAACTTGAACTACACAGTAGACCAGACCTTTTGCCTCAACTATATATATACTACAGTGTTGACATCATTTTATCTATTTTGATAATCCCATTATATTCCATTCCTACACTGTCACGTTCCAATGTGCTGTAGGGTCTTTTTTATTAACTATGGCTATTCAGCCAATAAAATTTCTGGTAAGATAACTGGAGTTTTTGGCAGGTGGTAAAGCGTGGGAGGCAGTTTGGAACTGTATGATAAGTGCATTAGCTGAATGTTTGTGCTAGAGAATCAGCAATAAAATCACTGACACTAATAATGGAAATGTCATCTTTACGTTTCATAGCTAAATATCCAAGAGATGGATTAGATAGCTCACCCCTAAGCAAACTTTTCTTTTAGCCTGTGAAAACATGGAGATCACTGTATTAGTGATACTCGAGTCATGTTTTCAGGGTTTTCACAGCAAAACAAAAGGTGACTAACATCTTTTTTAAAAGCATTCTAGACTGTAATTTGCCAGTATATTCCATTACAGCACCATCACAAATTATTGTGAGCCATGGGTAAAATGGGTTCATCAAGAGTACACAACCTTCTAATAGGTTTGCATCAATGAAAAATGGATTGGGTCCTCATTCACTAAGAATTCAACAGCAGATAAACCTGTTTTAATTAATTAGCCACTAGGGAATGATGAAGATTTGATTCTGTAAGTCTCAGTGATTTTCCTTTGGGAACTTTCACCTCTCCCAATTGACTTCACTCTGCAGCTGATTCACAAGTCTCAACTAAGTCTTTCTGAACTAAGGGGCTTTTCTGCAAGACCGAAGAAAAATGTAAAGAATGTCCTGGCCCTTTATTACAGGCCAAGCTTAAACAACAGAGCATCTTTGAGCCAAAGCCTAAAGCAAAGGGGAGCCATTTTAGCCAAGTTTTTTTTCCCAGCCACATTTTTAGGGATCTTCCTCTTCCAACTTTGTGAAACTGAGCCTTTGCTCCCTTCTGTTTAGTCTTTTTAATCCCAGGAGGAATAAATTCCCTGCACAGCTGAACCCAGACTGTTACCTAGGAACCACTACATGCAGGGTAGGCAGCTGTGTTTCTTCTTCTTGCTGAGAAAGTTTTTTTTCCTGCCAGTTCTTGAGAAAGATGAAAGCATCTCGGCATGCCCACCCCCACTTTCCTGGTCTTCAGAACTGGCACTTACCTGTGGAATTTGTCCCTGGCTCACAGGATGCAGCACTGTGAAGGCTGTTCCGGAATCCCTTCAGTTGCCTTTCAGTGGAGGTCACCATAACAGGTGAAAGCATTAAATTAGACAGAAAAGAAGGGATACAGCAATGAAGAACAGAAGTCTCAAACAAAAAATTGAAATTCTCCTTGTTTGCATAATCTCACTGGGATTGTAGCTATGAAGCTGAGCATGACCATGGTACAAAAAGGGCAGTGACAGCAACCGACTCCAAAAAGGCAGACGAAGACAGATGAACACTCAAGCCACCAGCAAAATTTTGGCATGCCTAAAATGCTTAATTGTCCCACATGCCTTGGAAACTGATTCTGGAGGATAAAGGAGATAGCAAGCGGTATTGGACCACTAAAACACAGCTCAACTAGTAGCACTGTGGTAACTTTATTCCAGTGACTTGAAGTAAAATGATTAAGCGACCCTCTTAGAACAAAAATGCATATGCTGGCAAAAAATTGGTACATTCAAAAGTTAAGTCCTTGCATCTTGTCTCAGCAGAGACAGCTCATTTAGGCAAGATCTCTCACTTGTCTTGGAAACCAGCACCACAGAATGCGTTTAATCTCCAGTAGTCCAGTGCCAGTCCTCAAACACATACTTTATGCAAACCCTCTTGCATTTATCTCAGCATTTGAGTTGCAGCAAAACTATATTCTGTGGAGTACAACTGCACTTCCTTTAACTGTTATTTGCTGAGACCATATCCTCCTACACAAAGAAAATAGGTCTACTCACAAGACGAGGTCAAGCTATAAAGTCTCAATGATCTATTCTGCCCTTAAATACAATTGATTCATCTATTCCTGATTTGTCCTCTCTTCCTCTGTCTCTCCTTGCCTTTTTGCTGACCCACCCAACTCTATTCTGATCATGCCAGACTTCTGGGTGTACACTCGTGTCCCTCTGCCAGCTCTGCAGTGTTACAGTTACTGGTGGCTCTTGCCCGAAGAGCACCATAATCTCCAAGCCCCATGTGATGCCCTGATGACTAACAGACCCAGGCACACGTGCAGTTTTTATAGTTTTGTCTGAAACCTTCTGCTTTCAGATTTCAAAGTCAGCAAGTTGCCAGTAATCCAGGTGCTCCTGGCAGCTAAAAGGCCAGTGAGGGATTCCTGTACTTTATCTCAGTTGTATTTTAGCGAAATAAATTAGAGTCCATACAGGAAGGGAGAGGGATGTAGATACAACATTTGCAGAACAGAACCCCTTAGTTCAGTCAGCCATAATTTGAAATGCTATTGTCAAATGAAGTGCTTGTTTCTATATTTATTGCCTCTTGGAGAGAGTTTTGGATCTGTATTTATGGTTTCTTTTGCTGCTGATATTGCATAGTCCTTCTGGGAGCTGAGAATCCAGATGGATCTTTATGCTTCTTACACAGAGACTCCATGCTCATAATTAGCTTGTCCACTTTGTTAAGGCAGCACAACTGCTAGCCAAATTCAGATCCCCCTTCTGTAGGTAGAATGCAAGACTAGTGCTTGAAAATGTCACCAAGAATGCCAGCAAGTACAACAACAAAAAAAACCCCAAAACAGTCACACTTCTACCTTAAAGTGTGGTTTATGTTTAGAGAATCTCTTTCTCTCTACAGACTTGCCCTTTTTCTTTTCTGGTTACCCACAGCCCACAGTGTACCTTGACTCTTGCAGTTTCAACTGTCACCTCCATACAGCTTATTCTCAGACCTGCTTCTGGGTCACTGATCTTCCACCACACTATGCTCACCCCTCAAGTTCTCTCTGCTGTCCTGATGGAAACTCCAGTGCCAGAACATACTCACTGCTTAAATTGAGTTAATCCCTTCCCACTTTCTTCCCCCTTGGGTTGGCTGAAACCCTACTGCCTTTCTCAGTTGCCTGCTTTTAATGTCTGTGTTGTTTTTTCTACCATTTCTCCAATGCAATCCATTGTTGTGTTCTCTATTTCTTCCTCTTCTTCAGTACTGACAAAAACACTGTCCCTACTGTTGGCACCGTGTAAATATCCATCATTGTCCTTTTCTATCTCTTACACAGCTAACCCCTCCTTGAAACTGATACTGACTTCCTTCATTGAGGCAGTAAACCAGCCCCATGCTGCCCAGCCTGGGAATGCAAATTTGGAGGATGCTCTTGTTCCACAGGTGACAAAAAATTACTTTCCTAAGTTTTGAACACCTTTGTTTTGACAACTTATTCCTGGGATGCTATGAACGCATCTAATGGTCCAGGGGGACAAAACTGACACTAACAAATTCACATCACAAAAGGCCCAGGTTTGACAAGAGGACAGCAACAGATGTGAAGACCCAGAGCCAGGGAGGCTTGTTCCTCTTTGTTGCTCTTGGACAGGGTATCTCTGTGTGCATATCTGTGTGTATGATCTGAGGCTAGCCAAGGGCTAAGAGCTACAGGCCTAGAGAGCCCAGCTGTGTCAGGGTGTTAAATCAAGGCATGTCTCTCAGATGCACTGCTTTCGCTGCCAAAAATGTCTAAGGGTCAGGCAGCCTAACTAACCCAGATGCTCAGGAGCTACAAAAACAAGCGTGCCGCAGCACAGCAATAGCAAAAAAGCAAAAGGGATTCAAGTAACAGCTACATGCTTGCTCTCCTGCCGCCTGTCCTCTCTTCAGTGGGCACTCCATTTGTATGTGTGATGTACCTCGCTCGCTTGAGACACTTCACACATGCCTATGAATAAGCACACATGAGTAAGACAGGATACAAACCAGAACCATAGCGTTTTACAGGGCTCGCTCTGTGGCCATCATTCTACTTTTGGTACATTTGCCAGGCTTGGCCAGCCTGCCCCAGAACAGCTGGCTACTGCCGTATCCAAGTGCAGTCAGGACTCCACCCTGCCATGGGATGGATTTCCTGAACCCTGGAGAAACACACCACCTCTACCCTATTTCTGTACTGGTTACAATAGAGCAGAACTTTGGCTCTTCTGTTGCTGGCACCATGCAAAACAAATAACACAAAAGAAGAAACAAGGTAGAAAGATTTTGTGCTGGGATGTTGGGATTTGAAGGGGGTATTTGTTTTGAAAGGCTTCCTGAATAGAGTTGTTGAGAATGACACAGAGAAGTTCAGTACAAGAAATCATGCCATGTTGATCAACATCCCCAATAGTTTGTGATGTTCCAGTCTATTGCTGATAAACCTGGTGATCTTCTTGGGCTCTCTCTCTCCCTGATAACATCTTGAACTATATGCTCCCTTTCTCTACCTGGCATTTCCTCTCTTTATATACAGTGGTCTGACATTGACAGCTGGATTTTTCTGGGATCTTTTCTTTGACCGACAGTTCTGTTCACAGGCTGTTCAAGGCCTTGTTCTACTTGATGCTGTCACAGTTAGCAGATTTCTGAAAAGTTACTATAGTAATGATAGCACAGAATTTTGTATTTATTGTGACTTAATCATTGCTAAAAGGAGAAAGACTTTCTGTCTACCACCTGTATCAGTTCATTCTTGATTCTGACAGTTGAGCTAATATATTTTTCTACTTTGCATGCTGTCATCTGTAATGTGAAGATCCAATTCAACAAATGCTGCTTCCATGGACATCTGCTTCATTCCACGGCTTATGAATACTGTATCTGTGATCACCATCTTAAAACATTGCTCTCTGCTATCAGTGGGTCTCTCATGGTTCACAGACCTGCCAGTAGTAGTGGCAGGACCCAGTCTCACTCTCGGAAAGAAAGAAGAGCTTGTTGTGTTAGCTGTGCAAAAACTATCTTTCTACTTGCAATATGAGCATGTTTAATCAAAACTATGGAGCACCATGAGAACATTTTATGAGGCTACATTCAGCATAACGCTACACATTAAACCATTTCTACCAGTTAGTTTTCTTCCATACCTTAATATGGGTCCTGATTTTCCACGCTGTTAGCTTGAGCAAGGAGTCTGCTTTGGACACAATTCATTATAAAGTCAACCTACCACCTTTTACAAGTTGAGAGACTGAGAAAACGAGAGAGGCCAAGAACTGAAGAGACAAGACAGAGTTTTCTGGCTGTTCTATTACTTTTCTTCTTTATGTTTTAATCAGGGAAGTGTCCAATTTACTAGACTGAATTGAATTAGTCAGTAATGTTCATCTTTAGCACCTCATTCTGTTTGTAGTTGAGTTTTCTACAACTTATTTTCTTCCTCTTCTGGAAGCCACGTGTGCTGCCGGGGAGAGAATTGATAATGCATGCAAGGAAGAGATAGGTCAAAGAGACAAAGTTGATTTTAGTTTGTCTTCACAGTCCAGTCTCTGGAGAAATTCTACAAACAACTTTAAAAAGATGATCTCTATTAAGATGTTAAACAAAAGCCAGGTGGTGCAAGAGCAGACAGAGAAATAAGGTCTGAGTTACTGAAATATATGAAAAAAAAGGAGACACGAGAGCTTTAACAACAGAATGGGATCAGTTTCAGTGAGTCTTGTGGAGATAATATATAGCACTGAGATCTTCTCTGAGGAAAGAGATCAGGAAAACAGCCAACAAGTATTAGGGGGTGAGAGTGGGGAGCAAATTCAAAATGACCCGACAGAGAAATGAAGCAGCCAAAAAGCCAAAATTAGATTAGATGCTATGGAGAGGGATATTTGTGATATCATAACCTAAGGATATGGTAGTCCCACACTGGAAAAGTACAGTTCTGGGTGCCACAATGCAAGTACTGACAAACTGAAGAAAACACAGTAAATTCAAGACAATTAAGGACTTGGCAGGTGGAACTACTATCTTAAGTTAACAAAACCTCAACAAGTCTAAGCAACATTAGGAAACTCCAAGCATCAGAAGGATATTCAAAAGCTGGAAAATATTTGCAAGGGAAAGTGTTTAGGGTAGTTCAGAAAAGAGGAACAAGGTACAACAGGATGAAACAAAGGAAAAATTCAGATTGCACACCAGGAGAAGCTTTTTGATAATAAGGTTGTTTAGATTCTTAAATAATCTTCTATAGCATATGGTGGGGTTTCTGCCACTGGAGTTTTTGAAAGCAGACTACACACAGTGTCCAGGAATACTTTGTACAGAATAACCAAGGACTGTAAAGAGCAGGCTGGAGTATGCAAGACATCTTTTTCTTTTCTAATCTATATTCCTTTGACACAGAGGCTTCCCTCAATTTACTTTCCTCTGTCGATGCATCTCTGCTCTTTTCCTGACAACTATGAATGGATTAAATTGGACAGATATAGCAGTTTTTAAACGACCAGCTCTTAGTATGCTGGAAATATAGCTGGGCACTGCTGTTTTCCATGTAAGTGAAAAAATGTTACTGCAAGATCCCATGAATGGCAAGAATAGGTTTGGAGCCTCATGCTAGAGACTGAAAGGCAACTTGGAAAGTATTTCCGGAGTGGCTCCTTGCAGCCTTCAATACTTGGATTAGTTTTCTAAAATTCTGAAGGAATCTTTTGCTTTTTTTCCCCTTCTCTGCATTTTTGGTGCTGAACTTTTTCCGGTTTTCCCACACTCCTGCCTGTCACAGAGCAGAAACCACAAAAATGCAGCAAAGTAAAGTCTGTCCAAGGAGCTGCAATTCCATCTCACAAGGATAAACATTTCCTCTGCCAAGAAGTGAGCACAGCACACCGGCATCTTCAAATACACATCCCTGCTGCCCAGCAGAGAAACCCACTGACAGAGCCTGTCACCTGCACTAACATGAGCTATCCAACATAAAAGAAATCAGATAGTAAACCCACCACAGTGTGTACCTGCCAGACCTGATGCTCACATCTGTATTTGCTGAGCTGACAAACTCCACTAACATCTTGTTTTCTTTTTAAATAGTTTTGAGGGATTAATTCAGTGTGCTATCTCTTAAGATAGCAAGAGTACACGCAGGAAATACACAAGCTTCCCCAAAGCAGTTCTGTCCAAGCTCCTTAAATACGCCTTGCAGTTCCAGATTTGATCCACACACACTGACCTACCATCTTAATAAGTTGTCTTTCATCAGTAACCTTTTACTAAAACTTCTCTCTTTGAACAGGAAGCAAACATAGAATCAGGAAACCTCACAGGAACCTGCTCTGAAAGCTTTACAACTCTTCTGGCTGTAGAGTGAGTCTAAGGAAGGAATTTGTGAATGCAATTTTTGCCCTTCAGTATTCAGGGATGAAACAGTCTGAGGATATGAGGAAAAAACACAATGAAGGATTTTAGTCTACAGAAGTTTAAGAGGAGATAAACAAAGAGCTGAGGAAGCTACCAACAAAGGTAAAGGATAGGAAGAATTCTCTCATAATACACAAAAGAGAAGACACACCAAGAAATGGAAAGGAAGGAAACTTGCGATCAGTAAGCAACATTTCTAATGATTTTTGTTTGTTTTTAAGATAACATCTGCCAAATCCATCTACCTTAGAATGGAAAGCACTATATAACTAAAAACTTAGTAAAAGTTAACGGAAGGATTTCTACAGATAATAAGGAAAGGCTATTGTTACACTAGGCACAAAATAAACACCTTGAATGAAATAAGCACTTGTGCATGAAGGCACGAGTCAATTATTGTGTGTTAAATTTATGGGGAAACTTGGTTCAAGGGCAGATTAGCTTGTTAAGGATATTGAGTGGTTTGGGGCTTTTTTTAGCAGCCTCTTCTGGCCCACCAGATTCTAACCCCCATCAAAGATTAAGCCTGGACTCAAGTGCCTAAAGTATCATACTTGGTACTCTCAAGTTATTTGAGACATCTGCATGGAACTGGCACATACAACATGAGATCTACAGAAGACTTGTGCTCATCTGGAACAGCAGCTGAAGGTCAAGTGGAATAGCCCTTGGGATCTAAAATCTCAATAACAACCTGTATTTACATAACTGAATCGCATCCTCGATCAAATACTTCTCTCATTCAGTCTGGCAGCTCCTACATCATTATGTTTGTATGATGTTACAGTCTCACCTACTAAGGTGAGACTGTAACTACCATTGTGAAACATGAAACTGCAACATAGTGCACACCTATGTCAGTACACACAGCTCAGGTTACTCTGAAATTTATCTGGGACAGCATAGCCAAAAAGATCTATGTCAGAGTCACATGTAGACAGGTTCTTCTCCGATATTCCTTCTCGGGGGAACCAGTGCCAACTCCCTATTGTGGACGGGAAGAGATAAAACTTACTTGGAAATCCTCTGGGCTGCAGCCTTTCTGACCACTGCTTGCCTGTGGTTTGCTGGAGGCTTTGGAACCAGCTGAGGCGGCGTACCCGGGGATGGCATCACTTTCTGCAAACTGGCTGCCTTCTGGATACTAGAAGTGGCACTTGATGTCTTGCGGGCATCAGAGCCAGCTGGCATAGATAAATGGCTGGTGCTGGATTGTGAGTAGTTGGCAAAGAGAGCCTGGTAAAAAAAAAAACAAAAACAAAAACACCACAGTAATTGGAGATTACCTCTCTGAATATTGCTGAGATGGACATGGGTGACATTTTTGTGAGGGATAATACCTGCCTAGTGAAGGGAACCCCAGGACTCCAGGGACAGTCCCACGCATAAAAAGAAGAGTTAAATGGTCAAGTGAGTGAAATAGTTTTTAGAGCTGAATTTTATACCCTTGGAAGATGGGACTAGCTTCTAGGAAGGCAGACAAGCTCATTACTGCCCCAGAATGATACTATTCTGGATTAAAAAACAAGAGGTCCTGTCCTCAATCTAATCTTGCAGTGTGCTCCCATCCACAAAGGAGTAAAGCTTTTGTTGCTTCAACTGACTTTCTGCATTTATCTTGCTGAATTATTTGTGTGGGAGGTGGATTTGAGACACTAGCTCTTCAATCTAACCCTTTAAGTGCTTGGAATAACAGAAAGGCTCTAGGGTACCTTCTCTGAAAAAGTGACTTTAGGTCAGCAGCTGGCAAAAAGGAAATCCCCAGTAATACCAGGGAACAGAAAATATTTCTTTTCCTATAGCAGGTGGGAGAGTAAATAGATTGGAGATTTGTCAGAGGGAGCAAAAGCATCTGCATGTTATGAAGGAGTGGAGAACTGAGCAGTGGACTGGCAAAGCAGGGATTGGGGAATGGTTCCCTACAGGAGCTCTGCAGACTGCTCAGCCCTTCAGAAAGGAGCAACCTGCTGCGAGCTCTGCCTTGTCTTTCCTCGAAGTCCATCAGACTCCCAGGGCAAAGAGGCAATACCGTAACCCTGCAGTTTGGCAGCTAGAGGTCATCGAGAGGAGCTGAGGGGAATAGCTGAGCGCTCGCCAGTCACCTCGGCGTGACCCTGGGAGCACTGCCCTTCACTGCGTTTGTCCTCAGTTTCTTCTCTGGTGAAAAACACACAAAGCCACAGTGAGTGGGCTCCAGGCTCCAGAGAAAACCACAGTCTGAGGGCTGGCTGAGTCTCAGCACACAGACAGGAAAAGCCCCTCTCCCCCGCAATTCTCTGGCAAATGGCAGGGCAGTGGTGTGTGGGAAGGCGTTTCTGACAGGGAGAGCTCTAGGGAGAAAAGGAAGTGCAGGAGCCAAAACAGGCCTGTTTCCTAACCAGAGCTCACTGACAAGATGCCCTTGGGCTCCCAATCCTTCTTAACCTCTCCCTTCCCCAAAGTTCTACCTTGATTGCAGCTTTCACATTTTGAATAAGTAGCTGGTACAAGGGCAAAAGTCTGGAAAATAGCAGTCACACCCTACCTCCCCCCAGAAAAACAAACTAAAATGGAACTTGGTTTAGTCTCTTGCATCTGAGTCTGACACATCATGGGGTTGGGAATGGAGACTGTCAAGTCACTGCACTCCATTCTTATTCAGAGGTGACATTTCATTGCGTTCAGTTTGATATTATGCATATTTCCTGTGAGTTGTTCTTATTAAAATCACTAAGATCTTGGAGTCCACAAGCATAGTCTTAACCCCTTCCCTGTGTTAACATGCATCGGCAAGGAGGTCCATGACTGAAGAAACAACAAGCATGGATGCTCTAACAAAGTCTGATCAGCAAAAGCTGGGCTGAGACCTGCCTAAAGAAAGGTCATGGATGTTTTTGTTGGGGGTAACAGACTTCCAAAAAGGCCTTTGTCTCCATGCTGTGCTGAGACTCTGGCTGCCTTCCAGGCAAGGATGGGGAGACTGGAAGCTGACACGGACCATGGCTTCTGGATTCAGCTACAAAGCATACTGTCCTGCTGTGAACTCCACGGGGACAGGACAGGAAACCAGGAGAAGCTACTGTGCAAATAAAGAGGGCAGCTGGGAGAGCAGAGCCTGACCACACAAAGGAAGGGTTGGGAAGAGATTTCAGCACACCCTAAAAGTAGGAGACAGATCTCATCTCTCAGGATTTGGAAAGCTCAGGGTCTAGGGAGAGCAGAAGCCTAGACAGAGGCAGTCCTGAAGCAGGTAGCACCCTACAACGATTGCTGCTGCGAGTTAAAAAACTCTGAACCACACTACCAGGCTGGCAGATTTAATGAAGTTGAGGAGACAATTGCTTCCCTGACAAGTTCTTAGGGCTACAAATCTGAAAAATACTTAGAACACTATGAGACTTTTTAGTTAGAAATCATGTAAAGCATTAGTGAGTTAATTCTCTTGCACAATTCTCTGGGGAGGTAGGACAGCATTAACCCTGTTTTGCACATGAAGAATGTTAGCACTGACAGAAAAAGTGATTTTCCCTAAGCCAGACTAAAACAATATAAAAAGCCACGTTGAGAGATCAGAGAAGATCCTGACTCCCAATCCCATATTTGCCTTATTAGATCACACCTCTCCTTGCTTCCACATCTTCACTTGAACACCATACACAAAGTGTTATCTGTCCAAAAAGAATAATTTTTAATTAGAAAATCTCAACATTCACAGCTTATCAGTAAGGACGATGCACATCTAAGAGCATTAGCCAGTAGCAGCTGAGCTCTGGCTGCTCGTGATTAAAAGCAGGGAGGTAGTGTAGTACTTTGAAGAAAAGCAGATATATTAATGATCTTCAAAAACAGAAAGAATGTTCCTGGCACTTACCATCCCTGTATCTAACACCCATCCCTAGCACAGTAACGGAACAAATGTTGCAAGCAAAAACATGTTCATTCTGTGACCAGAGGAGGTAATGAAGCTCATTTCCTGTGAATCTGTCTTGGGGATTAGTATTACAGTATCTAATATAAAGCATGCCCCAAATTATGCCTCCCTTCATGATTTTGGGGCATTATTATGTTGATTTTTTGATGTCTAATTAGGAGTGGCTTCATGCTGTAGCCTTTGCCTCAGTGGGAACAGTAGTTGAATCCCCTTTCCAGATATACAGCTCTTTATTTTCATAAAATTTATATGAAACATCGCTTTGAAATTTCTGTCCCATACTCATTCAGTTTAAATTGTATCAGCAAGTCTGAAAACGATGAGAGACTCAGCAGTTTAAGAGAACCGACAGACAGATGCACACACACTTGTATCGTGTAAGTATCTGTGCAGCTAGTTCCAAATCACCAGGTGCTGGAAACTAAGATGTTTATAAGCAATAAACAATGACGAGGATTTAAGGTTAAAAAAGAAAGAAAAAAGAAAACCCAACAAAATAAAACCCACCACTTTTAGAAACACAACTGCATTTCAGATGACATTGCAAAAATGCAGATAATTAAAAGGCTTGGAAGACCTTTGGAGTCATACAAATTGTTCAGGGGAGATTCCTCTTGAACCCATATTAATGCATTCAGTTAAATCAGTTTGGATGCTACAATCAGCTGAGCTGAAATTCACAAAGTGGTGATAAAGAACAGGCTCAAAATGCACTATTAACTGCCATAATGTTAAAATGCAGTAAAAGGAGCATCTTGGGGTCATCAAGAAAATTAAAGGAGAGGAGCAAATTCATGGTATGTGCAGATTGTCCTGAAGCATGGCTTCCTTGATAAATTCTTCAGAATGAGACTAAAATATACTGAAATAAATTGACTTGGTGCCTTCTCTTTTGTCCCCCTTTTGTACTGGAAACTCTCTGGGGCAAGGATTGGGCCATATCATTGTATTGGAAAGATACTAATACATCTGGGCGTTACCATAATTCTAATAATAGTGACAGGATCAGAAACATGGGGACAAAATTTCAGCTGGTATAAATCAGCACAGACTACTGCTTTCAGAACAGTTGTTCTGCTTTACTTAGACTGAGACTTTGACTCATCAGTATCACAAGACTCAAATTGAAAAAATGGCAGTTAGCTAATTTAGTGGGAAAACAATCTGAGGAAGAAAGCTGCAAAACAAGAATGAACAAGAGACTGAAGGGGAAGAGAGACTGCAAATCTGACAGCAGTCCAATACATAATAGTTTAGAAAACAGTTTAATGATGTTTAAGGCTGGATTCAAAGAGGCCCTGTGTCCTCAGGCAGGAACAGTATAGTTCTAGGAATACTATGAGTATTATTCTGAGTACTTAACATTCCCAGTCAGATCTAAATAAACTGTAAGGAATTCAGAAGAGAGTCACATACATTTAAAGAAAAAAAAATTGCTGAACTTCATAAAATCAGGAATATTTCAAGAATATACCTTTTTTAAATGATTGAGAGGAGAATTATTTAAGATTAACTTAGCCCAATGTTTTATAGCATAAAATCTACTTAAACTTCGGATTGAAAATATGATCATAACTGACTACACAACTCATTAACATGATTTATGCCTTGCTTTACACGAGCTTTTTTGATATAAGCAGGACTGATGGGGATCATTCCACTGTACTTTTCTTGTTTTAATTTAGTTTTTTTCCCATGTGAAATGTTTGGCATAAAATTCTAAACCCAGTAGATGCTCGGCTAAGCAGACAGAACATAGCCACACAGAGAAGGAGGAACCTCCCTAACAGCTACTGGCATCCTTCCAGTACAGGAAACAATTAGTGAATAAACAATGATGGTATATTAACTGCCTTGCCAACTGCAGCAGTGATACTAACATCTAGGTCATAACGTGTCACATGAAGACTCCTTCACACATTAAAAATACTGCTGTAAGCCTGTTTTTCTTGTGTTTTAGTTTGACTTTGTAATTCTTTTTCCTTGATTTTGTTGATATCAGATTTAAGCTTCTTGTCTCCACTTTCAAACTCCGACCCATTTCATTTTTTCCTCTTTTCTCAGGCTCTGTATTGTCTCTGGTCCTGGGCCCTATTACTGCATCTATTTGTTTGTTAGATTCTCATCAGTTTGGTGTTTTTCTTTTTGTCCAGGGAATGAAGTACCTATTCTGGCATCAATGATCCATTTCCAGAATAATACCCTGTGTGAACTAACTTCCACGTACAATGAGTGAAAATTGTTGGTTATTATTCCTTTACCTGCACCTAGACAGTATTTGCTACTCTGCAAATTGTTAAATGCCTGGAGGAGAAATTATCATTCTTAAGTGTCCGAAAAGTGCTCGATCAAGAGTGGGTGCTGCCACAAAGAAGTGTGCAATAAGCCTTTGTATCCACTGCACAGCAAATGGGGGTATTCTTACTTCACAGATACTCAACTAGGAACTCCCATACTTTCCAACCCATCCATCTCATCTCCAACATATTGGACTAGTTAATAGACAGGCAGAAGCATTTGCCTGAGTTATTAATCATGGTGCTTCTGTTACTTGTTCACATGCTACCCGTATACATATGACTAGTTCATTTGTCACAAAGAGAAGGAAAGACTAGCATCTAGTCAAGTTGCACAGTCACACTATAGTCACAGTATACCTTGAGATATATTAATAAATGTACTTCATCTACTGACAAATGGCTAGCCTGCCTTCCAACCGTAACAAGAACTTGAACATTCACATGAAACAGGCCTGGAGATATCCTGCATACATTTTCCAAAGTAGAGCAATCATGACTTTCTTTCAAGTGATTGGCCTTCTGTTTTTGGGGATACGTTTCTTCTGTTGAGAGGAGGCTGAGGAACTTGAATGTAGCAGGCAAGACAACAAAGGATGGAGTAAATCTCAGTATGTGGGAAGGAACAGAAGGATAAGAGCAGGCAATGGGAGATAGGTGGCTGAGGTGACATGGACCAGGACTGTGGTAAAGCCACACAAGCTAGGATAACCTGCATTAGCTGTGGGCTAAAAGAGAGGACAAATGATGGCCAGCAGGAAAAGGTGAAAGTCAAAACAGTGTGAGTGGGAAGGAGATGTCAGGCAGGGAGCTTGTAAGCGGCAGAAAAGAGAAGGTAGTTCTTGGAAAGGCCAAGTCAAAGGACTGAAGTCTGAGAAGCTAACTGGAAGAAGGAAGAGGTCAGTAACAGGAAACTAGAGAGGGAGCAGGGGATAGACAGATGAAGATGAGGGTAGTGCTGTGACTGGGAGGGGCATCAGAGGATTGGTGCATCTGTGACTGGAAGGGGAGGTCTGGCTGGCTTCGTACAATGTCTAGTGGGAGAGGAAGTGTCTAAGACACAATTGTTTTATTAAGATGCAGTTTCTACTACAGAAAGTCTGAAAGCCCCCATGTTCAGCAAGTACCTTTTTTCACTAATGGCAACTTCACTGCAGCCTGAGCCCTGCGGTATGGCAATGGCCTCAACACTGCAAGTCCAAACTGCTTGGCCGAGAAGGAGAAGGGAGGGAGAGAAAGGAGGGGGACAATGTGGGGGTGAGAGGATGTTTAACAAAGAATCACTTTAACAGAAACTCCTGAGTAATGGCTCTGCCCCAGGCCAAGAATAACATCAGCTCAATGTCAGCAATTAGAAGAGGGCTCAGCCAGGCCCCCACGGCCAGCTCCAGCCTCCTCACAGGCACAAGCCAGCTTACAGCCCTTTCCTGAGCTTATGAGCAGCCACAGCTGCCCACCCAGAGACCCTTGGATGAAGATGAGATGAAAAGAAAACCTTCTGCTTAGACGGGGAGGAAGAAGACTGTAGGTGAGGGAATTTGAGGATGGAAACTGCATGGCTAAGTGAGGGCCTTAAAAGGAGTGCAAGGAGCAAAGGCAGAAAGGTCTCTCCAAGATGGTCCCAGAAAAGAATGAGGGCAATTTGCCTATAACCTATTCTCAAGGACTCTGACTAGTGACTCATCTTCTTCACAGGAGGGAGAGTGGGTGTTCAGACCTCCACATGTTAGCTCTGTTCATGATTTTGTTGGAGTCCAGTCCTGCCAGTCTGCCTAGCAAATACTTTTTCCTAATGGAAACCAATCTCTTTGGAGTGAAGGTTTGTTCACCCAAAGACTTCCTTCCCTTTAGCAGGGAAGCCTTTTGGACACCACTCAGAAGAACAAACACACATCTCTCTCCATAATAACAAAGAAAGGTAATGAGTGCATCAATAAATTCTTTGTAACCTTGGAAGGTAAGTCAGGCAGGATGGAAATGCTGTTCTGGACACAGTGGTCCACCCTTGACATCTAAGTGTCATTCAGAACACCAATAATAGAAGTCCTTTTTCATATTTCCTCTAGCTCTTGGACACCTAGCCCACCTTTTCTCCTTGCAATTGTAACAAAGGAGTTACATATCCGTCAGACAGTCCTTGTGCAAAGCAGTAAAAGAAGATCTTAAATGCAGTAATAACAAAATGTGTAGGAGGCCTGGAGAAGATTGTCAAAGTTGCAGAGAAAACTTGTGTCAGGGTCAGCGGCCACACCAATGCCCACTGAAGGCTCTTAAGAGAAATTAATACATTTCTTCAAAAGAATGAAGATTCTCCTAAATAATTTTTGAGTCCCTGTAATGTACTGCTCTTTTGATAACTGCATCATACGAGAAGACATCCAGGAGAAGGAAAATTTAGTCAAGATGAAGCCTTGATGGGGTCTGTTTGCCACAGAGGACACAGTTGCTGACACAGTTTCAAGACCCTGTATTTAGAAACACTGAAATACAACAGCAACCTGGCCTGAAGCACTTCCCAAGAACTCAAGTCAAAACAGGAGCATATAATCAGTGACGATTAAGTGACAAAGAACTGTGGAGACTGTAGACAGTTCTAAGGCTGGCTGAGGCACAATAAGGGGATGCCTTGAACTGGTGCAGAAAAGCAGGCAGCAGCATGCCAGTAGCCAAATCAAAGAGGATGCCAACGCGGTGGAAGAAGCCATTGAGACCTACAGCATCAAAATGCTATCAGAATCACTGCAGGTAATATCAGTTTTGTTGCAACCCACTTGACGAGCTACTTCCTACACAAAAGCTGCGCTGTATGTATTGACTCTGGGTTGGCTCTGCACATCTAAGACTCAGTCAGCACTGCTACATCCCAGGCAGGATTTGTAATTAGTTACCTGGCGCCGGGCTTGGCTTTGCTCCAACAGCTGTCGTGACTGAAGTTTCTGCTGCCGAAGTTGCTGCACAGCAAAATGGAGCTGACAGTTGGGATGTACCAGCGGGTTCTTTGCCACCTTGCTGCAGACACTGTCCTCCATCTCTCCTTCCCAGGCAAAATGATCGTTCTCTGGAGCCCTGAGAAAAGAAGAGCCATCATACTTTCACCACTCTACATATAAGGACTCCTACTTACAAGGCACTGCTGCTTCCTAAAAATCCCTTAATATTTAGCTAGCTATGAATTTGTATTAAGCAGCTCCAGCAAGCACAACACCTGCTAGAGGTGCCATGTGCCAATTTTGGTCTTGCTAAGGAGTTCCTTAATTCCAGGCTGGGACTATATTACTAGCTGTAACACCATGTTTGAGGAGAACAAGGGAAAAGAGAAGAAAAACTCTAAACTGGAGCATATCTGTTGCTGATTAGCACTGAGGAGAGACAGCAGGAAAAGAGCTAAGGATTCCCATCACAAATGACGTAATTATTTATTTGGATTTGTAGAGATTTTGTTAATACACTAACTCAAGGCTTACACCAAGCACACACACAGTACAGTGAGAGCGGAACGGGAGACATGCAGTACAATATCCACAGAGAGGATAAAGGACTGGTGGGGTGAGATAGCAACCAGGGCACATATTGACTCCACAGAGTTACAATCCAAATGACCCAAGAGGACTGAAGATAGGCTCATTTCTTTCACCATCAGAGTAACGCAAGCCTTTCCCAGAGAAGAAAAGGCCTCCTGCAAAGAGGCAAGAGCTCTTACAACCCCAGGCTTATACTGTGGGAGTTCAGCTGTGGCCTGCAACATGATAAGTACCAAGAGGAGCTCACTGGCTTGCTTTGAAGTTCGTAAGCCTCAGCAAGAGACTTCTACACAAGGCTGAGGGGCTTTGCAGAGAGCAGGTGGCAGACTGACAGGACCACAAGGTGTCCTGAAGAGGCTACAATGGCCCAGCAACTCACATATCCTGTGCTCACAATACAGGATGCCATATGACACACTGAATCCTGACACTGGCTAATAAAACCTTCAAGCCGCAATGCCTGAGCTTCCCAAGTTTCTGCTGATCTCTGTCACGTTTCTCTCAGCCACTCTTTCCTAATATTTCCTTTGATTCCCAGGGCAGAATTTCTTTATATTTCCCATGCGTGTCATAAGTAACTGGGATGTAAAAGATAATTGGTGTTTTTTACATTTAATGCCACAATTTGGAGCATAGGACATGGTAGCGTAGGTCATGGTAGCATTTTGGCAAGGGAATTAACTGCAATCTCCTTGCTTCAGGATCCTATCAAGACTTACAACCTACATTATTTGAACTTGTCACACCTTCCCTTGAACGTGTTGCACCTTCCCCCACAAGCTTCATCATCACAGCAAACCCTTAAAATATTCAGGAGGATATTTCAAGCAGAAGCAATTGCCAGCCCTAAGTACTCTCCCTCAAAAATAACCGAACACACCCCTTCCAAAGCATATTGAGCTGTTCAAAACAATTATAAGTGATCTGGGAAAAAAAGACTGAAATAAAAAAAAAAGTTTGCTGCTGAAACATTGAAAGACACTGAGAAGTGTAAAAAAAAAAAAATCCATCACTTTACTGAATGATCAGACATTAAACGGGTAAATTTGAAACCTGTGGCAAAGGATTAACTGTTATAGAAATACAAATACTGAGGACTGATGGTCCAACTTTTAAAAATGCACTGGGATTGCTGCCTTGCTCTAACCTTTGTCCACTTCAACTCTCAAATGCTTTCATTTGGTTTATGACCTGTTTTAATCCACTTTTTCTGTTTTAACCAATATATGATTTATAGCTCAAAATAAAGTCTTTAGGATATAACATTGCCCAAGATAAGCTTGGTTTAAACTACCCAGGAAAACACTCTTGAAACTATGTTACTAAATCTTTAGGAAGAACTAAATTTAAAAAAAAAACAACACTAAAACCACAAAAACTTTGGCTAACATTTTCTTGCAGCACAGACAGTCTTATACACAGCTCCCTGCAGTTCCAACACCACCTCTCTACACGATACAGCACAACAGCACTTACTTTTTTTCTAGATACTATATTGAAAATGCTGCTGATTTTACTCTTGTGGCCTGCAGAACGCTTCTGGATTGAATATGCTCTGTTAGCGTCTATGGGTTTTGCCCTTTTATAGATGGAAATAAATATAAATTCATTATACATAACTTCAACCTTTTACAATACTAGCATTAAATATTTGACAACAGCAAGCCTGCAGATTTGCAAGTCTTAGGATCACTTTTGTAGAAAGAGGTTTAAACTGCAGTTTTGAAAAGTCCCCACAAGTTGCTGATAGTACATCTAAGGCAAAGCTTGCCATGGTACAGGAGAACAAGGCTTAGGATCCGAGACTCAATATTCTGCTGCCAGAGACATGCTCCAGCTCTCAGTGTAACTGCCATGCTCACAGGAATGCATGACAGTGCAGGTCCTCCTCTCAGTCTCTGCCTATCAGATGATTTATTGAAGCATGACAGCACCCTTGCACCCTTCCAGAAGTTCGCTCTTCTGCTTAAGGAATTCTACAACAAGCTCAGAGCAGTAATGAAAGCTGGAAGAAAGCTGTAGAGGACCTCACACCTTAATAGATACTATAGAGTTCATGTGGTAGAGAGACTATATAAATACCCAAAACTGAAGGAACAGCTTTTTTGTAACTCACGCTGGTTTAGGCAAAGCCAAAAATAACCAGAAAAAAAAAACTACGCCCCTCAATGGAAATGACGATTGTAGAGTCAGTACTCACAGACCTGCTTGTTTTCAATTCAGGATTATTGCTTGAACACTAGCAATTGACTGAATATTCATTTGCTCACATGTACAGACAACAGATACAGGCACACATGCAAATGGAAAACAGAAATTCCTGCCTGTGCCACCAGAAGAGATTGGGTTTTGTTCTGTCAACCAGGCTGGTTGTGAGCAATCTTCTCACAGCTTGCTCAGGATTATTTATGAGTTGCTTAGTTTAGAGACCTGGCCAGGATTCAGGCTTTCACTATGTACAGGAAATCTCAGCCTTGGCATTATGGCCCATCCTTTGTAAGCAAGATTCTGTCCTTCCAGCAGCTCTTAGGGCTTCTCAGTATTTTTGGCAAGAAACACACTTTGTTCCTTTATTTCAGCTGCAGTTTTCAAAAAGCCTGGGCCAGAATTCCCTCTTTCTCTTCACTGACAGCATAAGACCTCTCTGCTGCAGCATTTTTGCATCACCAAAGGTACAAGTTTCCTTCAGAGACCAATTTCAACAGATCTCCATGCTATTATGATCACAAACCAGCCTAAAAGTACGAGAAGATCATGCATTCACCTCCAGGTTTTCTGGTTCCAAATCCCCTTTCAGCTCCAGTTCTCTTTTCCAACATAAGCACCTCTTATACAATCAACTACATACACCTGTACTGGGAACTAATGCTAGTGTTCTAAAATAATAAATACTAATAAACCACTAATACATGTGCTCATTGACTGTGGGGGAAAAAAAGTCTCAATGAAATCCAGCCTCCATACAGAAGGGCTGTGGTTACCAGCTCTTACAAGGAAGTAGAGAGCTGGCTTCTGTTCCGACTTCAAACAGATTTGAAGGGAATACCAAGGACTGAAGCTGTAGACAAGACCAGACCACAGAAGAGCACTCACTGAGAATCTTATAGCCATGAAGAGCTACCTGACATACAGCAAGTCTGTACTAAAAGGATGGTACTGGTAACTACTACTGATAGACCACACTTCTAGCATCTACCATCCCTAAGTACCTCATTCAAACATCTGACAAAGCAGTGTCTACTACAATACAACCACTGCTGGGATGAGTAATGCTGGACAATAAAAGAAAACAGCAGAGGACAGGGCAAAGAAAAGTCTTTACTTAAGTGAAACTACATGAGAGAGAGGGAGAGGAAGGCAATGTAGGAGTAGAAGGCGTTCAGAATATCATTTCTTGATGCATAATATGGATATAAATTGGGCTTAAAGCTTCCAATGTTCCCAGAAAACATTTAAGGATTTTTAAGTATCATAAATATTACACACAGGGCTTTCATTTATATTTCAACTGAAGCCTTCTTCCCATGGCACAGCTGGGCACTTGTTTGATACCAACTCCTGTACTGCAGGCAACAATACCAATTCATGAAGTATACTGGTGCTCCCCATATATCACTGACTAAGCAAGCACTTTTGAAATGTTTGAAAAGTGCCAACATCCCATTGAAAGGCAATGCAAACTAGGCTCAAATTACTTGTGAAAATGAAGCTTCAGCATTCTTGAAGAATATTCCTCTATGTTTAACCCCACTTAGTTTGTGAGAACTGATAGGATCACAGCAGGAGTCAGTATAGCTGGAGGTCTAGCAAAATGAGAAAAGAATTATTCTGCTTTTAAATGAGGAAACAAGCTGACAATGAAACCATTTTGCATCCTTTACTGTAAAGGCTGGAGCTAAAGATGAACAAGGACCATTGCTGACAATAAGGGAACCCAGTGCGTTTATAAATCTGTGCTCCCACCTTGCCATGGAATGCAAGACAATCTTGGGCAGCAGTTTCTTTCCCACAGGGCATTCAGGTGGTATGACAAGTCCAGGAAGCTTTCAGTACAAAGCCTTGGTGGGCACCAGCTGCTAGAAAGTAGTTGGCATAGTAACTAATGATTCTGTCTAGTGTGGCAGCTCCCAGCATCCTGCTGACTTATGTTCAGGCACTCAGAAAAACACAGAACATTTTCTTTGGCACACTACATGCTTCTTCCATCCCTAACAATAGGCCCTAGATTGGGCTGGCTATGGAGCAATGATAAACATAGTGGGACAAAGCCCAGGACGCTGGGGGCCTGGCTGGGATGCAGGACTGTCGGGCCTCTCACAGCGCTGCTTGCCTCAAGGCCTTTCTTTGTCTTTCTCTCTTTTTCTCTACCCTCAGCTTCAAAAGCAATAAATTAAAAACTGAAAACCAGAACAAGTCTTTGAGAATGGTTTGCTCCTGGCCTCTGCTGTTATCAGGAGCGTCTACCAAAGAATGACTTAGGTCCAGTTTAGTCAGCAAGAGTCTGCATTTTAGCATGGTCTGTAGCTCTAATGGCTGGAATACGCA